CAAAAAAAAAAAAAAAAAAAAGAAAGAAAGAAAAAAAATCACCATCAAGAGTGAAGAGATATTGTATAAATTATTATATTCCATATGGAATTATATCGCATCCTACATAACCCTGTGAACTAGACTTGAAACTTTCACAGCACTGTTATCAGAAAATGAATTTGGAAGTTCTAATAACCACACAACCTTTACACCATTTCTTATAAACTGCAAATGACCTACATAGTTGGAGACAGAATGAGCTTTGAACCAAATCCTTAGGTGCCCTCACTGCGCCCTCCTCTGAAACCAGAGCAGAGGTGGGGATACCTGGTGGGATTGAGTCTCAGGCTATATTTTCCCTGGCACGAGAGGTTCTGGTTCCTGAGTGAAGCCCATCTCTCCTCTTAACCTTGATGAGCATTCGGATCTCTGCTCCCCCACAGCCTGGGAATAGTCACTCTGTGAAGTGATTTTATCTGCAGCGCAACAGCCCAGTCTGCCAAAATCAGTTTAATTTCATCGTATTCTACAAAAAGTTTATTATTCTCTCACCTCTGTCTTCTAAGTTTTGCAGCTTATGTTTGAGGCTAGTACTTTCCATTAATGACTCTTGGTTCGCGACCTTAAAAACAAAACAGACTACAAATATATATATATTTGATGGCAAAGGGAGAAGCAAATGGTGCTATGTTTCCCCTTAACAGTGATTCTGGAAAAGCAGATGAATAAGCAACACTTCAATGGTACCTTAGGTAAACTTGCTTCATCTTCTGAGTGCTCCACAGGAGACAGGTCTCTCGGTGGGTGAGGACCTTGAAGCTCTGAGTGTTAGAAAAGTTTCAAGAAAATAAATACACCAAGTGAAGCAATATCTAAATCTCATCATCACAAAAAGGGAATACAGTTCTAAATAAAACAACTACTGACTATACCAGTCAGGGCACAGCTGCTCATTAGGTTTGTAGATTTATGGATAAGACAAATAGCCAGTTACCACGACTGCATCAGCATCTCAGTAGCTGCCCAGCTGGCCCCAAATGCACGAGCAAGGATTCTCCTACCTCGACCTTAAGAGTCTTCTCTTCTCTCCCTTAGATACCTCTCCCTTATTTCCTCTTTTTATGAACTGATATGTGTAGTATGTATAGTAACATATAGTACAATGATGATCACAATCAAATTAGCACACCCGTCATGCTCATACTGTAAATCAGATTCTCAGAACCTGTTCATCTTATAACTGGAAATTTGTATCCTTTCATCAACGTCTCCCCACTCCCCCAGTACACAGCCCAGGCAACCACCGCTCTACCCTCTGCTTCTATGGGTTCGACTTTTTTAGAATCTATGTGTGAGGGAGATTCTGTGTCTGTGTTTGGCTTATTTCACTTAGCACAATTTTCTCCAGATTCACCCACACTGTCACACGGTAGACTTTTCTTTTTTATGGCTGAATGATATTCCTGTGTGTCTGTATAGCTCACAATTCATTATCCACTTATTCACTGATGAACATCTGGGTTGGTTTCTCATCTTGGCTCTTATAAATCATGCAAATAATGCTGCAGTGAACGTAGGGGTGCACATCTCTTTGAGATACTGATTCTATTTCCTCTAGGTATATACCTAGAACTGGGATGGATAGACTGCATGATAGTCTTATTTTTAATTTTTTGAGGAAACTCCATATTGTTTTCCACAACGTCTAGAACAATTAATATTCCCACCAACAGTGTACAACGGTTCCCTTTTCTCCACAGTGTTATCAGAAAGATAAGTGTTGGCAACAGCCTCTTAATATGAGGTATCACATTATGGTTTTGATTTGCCCTTTTCTAATGATTAATGATGCCAATCACCTTTTTGTACACCTCCTGGCCATTTGTCTTCTTCAGAAAAATGTCTATTCAGGCCCTTTGTCCATTTTTAAATTGAGTTGTTTTCTTGCTACTAAGTTCTTGATATGTTTTATTAAAATATTTAACCCCTTATCAGATATATGGCTTGCAAATATATCCATTCTGTAGGTTGCCTTTTGTTATTTTCTTTGCTGTGCATGAGGTTTTTGGTTTTACGTAGTCCCAATTGTTTTTTTTTCCCTTTTTCTATACCTTTGAGATCATCAAAAAAATCACTGCCAAGAGTAATGTGAAGGAATTGCTTCCCTGTGTTTTCTTCTACTAATTTTACAATTTGGGGACTTAAAGTCCTTAATCCATGTTGAGTTGATTTTTTTAGACAGTGTAAGACAAAGTTTTCATTCTTTAATATATGGATATCCAGTTCTCTTGATCCCATTTAGTGAAGAGACTTTCTTTTCTCTATTATGTATTCTTGGCATATTGATTATATGTGTGGATATATAATCTTTGTGTCTATAGGCCAGGAACATATTCTTTTTATTGTTATAGTTTTTAAATATAATTGGAAATCAGGAAGCGTGATACCTCTAGCTTTGTTCCTTCTCAAGATTGCTTTGGTTATTAGGGATCTTTTGTAGTTTCACATGAATTTGGGAATTTTTTTCTATTTTTGTGAAAAATGTCACTGGCATTGATAGAGATTGCATTGAATCTGTAGATAGTTTTGTTAAAATGTCCATCTTATCCAAAGCAAAGTCTTCCAATCCATGTACATTGGATATCTTTCCATTTAAGTCTTAGATTTCTTTCATCAGTGTTTTCAGTGTATAATAGGCCTTTTACCTTCTTGGTTAAATTTATTCTTATGCATTTTTTTAGCTATTGTAGATGGAATTTCCTTTATTTCTTTTTCAGATAATTCTTGTTAATGTTTAGAAATATAACTGATTTTTGTTTGGTGATTTTGGATCCTGTAACTTTACAGAATCCATTTATTACTTCTGACCATTTTGGGGGGAAGTCTTTAGAGTTTTCTATTTATAACATCACATAATCTATGATTTAACTTCTTCCTTTCAAATCTGAATGCATTTTATTCCCTTTATTGCCTAATTATTCTGGCTAGGACTTTCAGTATGATGATGAACAGAAGGGGGGACAGTGGGCACACTTGTCTTATTCCTGATCTTGTAGGATGTTAGCTGTGGGCTTATATGTGGCCTTTTTATGTTGAGGTACCTAATTTGTTAAGTTTTTTAATCATAAAATGATGTTACATTTTTTCAATTTTTTTCTGCATCTATTAAGATAATTCTATGAATTTATCCTTCAGTTAACGTAGTTTATATATTTATTGATTCGTGTATGTGAAACCATCCTTATATGCCAGTGACAAATCCCACTTGAGCATAGTGAATGATCCTTTTAATGTGCTGTTGAATATGATTCCTTAGTATTCTTTGAGGCTTTTTGCATCTATGCTCATCAGAAATAGTGGCCTATAATTTGCTTCTCTTACAGCATTCTAATACCTGGCTTTGGTAGGAGGGTAATGCAGGCCTTATAAAATGAGTTTAGAAGTGTTTCATCCTCCTCAATCCTTTGAAAGTGCTTGAAAAGGGTTGGTATTAATTCTTTAAATGCTTGGTAGATTGAATAGTGAAGCTATCCAGCCCTGGACTATTTCTTTGTTGGGAGGCTTGATGACTAATTCAATCTTCCTACTCATTATTGGTCTGTTCGGATTTTCTGTTTCCTCATATTCAGCCTTGGTATGTTAAATGTTTCTAGGAATGCATTCATTTCATTCCATTTCTTCTAGATTGTCCAATCTGTTGGAGTATAATTTTGTCTAGTTAGTTGTAGTCTCTAGGATCCTTTGTATTCCTGTGGTATCAGATGTACTATCTCCTTTTTTATTTACAATTTCATTTGATTCCTCATTCTTTTTATCTTAAGCAAAATTTACAAACCTTTAGAGTAGCTTTCTAAAAGAACATTTTTCTCTGCAGTTTTTGGCTGGGGCCGGGTTTGAACCCACCACCTCCAGTATATGGAGCCAGCGCCCTACTCCTTTGAACCACAAGCACCACCAAAAACTCTTAGTTCCATCAATCATTTCTGTTGTCTTCCTAGTCTCTATTTCTTTGTTTATTCTCTAATATTTATCATTTCCTTCACTTCTGATGACTTTGAGTTTAGTTTATTTCTTTTCCAGTTTCTGGAGGTATGGAATTAAGCTGCTTGAGATTTTTTTCTTACTGTAGGCCCTTAATGCTATAAACTTCCCTTTTAACACTGTTTTTGTTATATCCCACAGGTTTTGAATTTCCATTTTCATTTGTCTCAAGGTACTTTTTGATTTCCTGTTTGATTTCTTCTTTGACTCATTGGTTATTCAGGAGTGTGTTATTCAACTGGCATGCATTTGTGGATTTTTCTCGTCTTCTTCCTATTATTTCTATTTTTATAACTTGTCGTTAAAAAAAGACACTTGAGATTATGTAACTCATCTTAAATTTGTAGCACAACATATGACCTATCCTGGAGAATGTTTGAGGTACATAAGAATGTGTGTTTTACTGCTGTTGAATGGACCGTTCTGCATATGTCTGTTAGGTTCATTTGGTCTACAGTATTATTCAAGTCTACTATTTCCTTACTGGTTTTCTGTCTGGATAATCTAGAAATCTGGAAGTCTTTCTGTTTTTAATCTTTAAAGTGGGATATTAAAGAACCTTATTATTTTGGTATTGCTATTTCTCTTTTCAGTTCTGTTAAAATTTGCTTTATATACAGAAGATGCAAAAATATGTATACAGATTTTCAGAAAGAAAAACACTGTATTAAAATTGTAATACTCAAGTCAAATTTGACTTCTGCAATTACAAGAGATAAATGGTACAATATACAAGATAAACATTATTGGTTTATATCAAGTACTGTGATTTTAGTATGGTTTTTTCCTTTCTTAAAATGTGTATAAATTTTTTTGGCACCCTCAGTATTTAGGTGCTGTAATGTTGGGTGCACATATATTTACAATTGCTATATCCTCTTGATGAATTAACCCTTTTTCATCATATAGTGGCCTTGTTTGTCTCTTGTGACAGATTTTGGCTGAAGGTCTATTTGGTCTAAGTATAGCCACACTTCTGCTCTCTGTTGGTTACAATTTGCATGGAATATCTTTTTCCAGCCCTTCACTTTCAGTTTTTATTCATCCTTAAGGCTAAAGTGAGTCTCCTATGAACAGCATATTGTTGGAGTTTTTTTTTTTTTTTCCTATCCATTCAGCCATTCTTTGTCTCTTGATGGGAAAATTTAATACATTTAAGGTGATTATTAATAGGTAAGGACTATTACTATTGCCATTTTGTTAATTGATTATTGGCTATTTTAGAGTCCCTTTGTTCCTTTTTGCCCCATCTTGCTGTCTTCCTTCCTTTTACTCCTTAGTGCTATATTTTCCTCTCCCCTTTTTCCCTTTTCTTTTTCTTCCAGTGACAGCTAAGAAGTTGTCAGTGAAGTGTTTATTAAGTGTTTTTGTATGCCTGTCAATACAAAAAACTAAGCTACAGAATAATAAAGGTGAGCAAAAGAAAATCAGTACTCTTAATAAACTTAAATAATGCAGATAGTTAAAATACAATGAGGGTTAAGAGAATGTTTATAGTTCAAGGATTGGCAAACTCTGGCCCCCAAGCCAAACATAGTCTAAGACCTGACTTTGTAAATAAAATTGTATGGAAACACAGCCACAGTTGGCTTACATCTTGTCTGGAGTCAGTTTTGTGCAGTAACTCCAGAGTTGAATAGTTGTAACAAAGCAAAAAACATTACTATCTTGTCCTTTACAGAAAAAGCTTACCAATGCCTGCTATAGGTCATCACTTAAGTTGTCTTGCTCCTTTAAAAGAGAGAGAACACCAGCCATTCTTGTACCTCAGCTTATCTCAAATATCAAAGCAAAATTAAAATACAGTGTCTTCTATCCTTTGCTAATAAAGACATTAAAAGGAAAATCTTTTGCTTACTTCAAATTACTTTTCCCAAAATATAATTTTTTCTATGTAAGTTTACAGAAATCATGTACCTGTTTTCTGGGCAGAATCTTCAAGAGAACTGCCTTGGAATTTTGCTTCAGAAATTTTGGGAGGCATGGTATCATTTTGCCTGGACATGTCTTTCTGCAACGATGTTAGAAGAGTTTAGCTTAAATACAGAATCTTTTTAAAGTGCTAATACTCATAATCATTCAAAACAAGTTATCCAAAAATTCTAAGACAACAGAGACAGGTTCTTGTATGTGCTCAGGTGATCCTCTTGCTTTGGCCTCCCAAAATGCTGAGATTACAGGCATAAGCCAGTCTGCCCAGCCCCAGGACATTTTCAACATCCTTTTAAGAAGCTTAAATATTGTATTTACTCCATTTGAAGATAAATGCTAAGGCCTGAATCAGAAGAACATCAGGTTATTTTTCTACAATAACTGTAAATCAAAAGTTCTCATAGTGTGGTCCAGACTAGAACATAGCAATAGCTGAGAATATGACAGAAATGCAAATTCTCAAACCCCACCAATGACCTACTTAATCAAAAACACTAGGAATAGGACCTAGGAATCTAGGTGTTAGCAAACCATACTGATCATGTTGATGACCACTAATGTTTGGGAATCACTGCTCCAAATCAGGGATCAGCAAAGTACAGCCCATTGACTGTTCTTGTAAATAAAGTTTTATTGGAACACAATACAACCCATTCACTTCCATACTGTTGATGGCTGCTTTTTGGCTACAAAGGCAGAATTGAGTAGTTGACACTCAGACCATATGGCTCATAAAGCCTACAATATTTATTATATGGCCTTTTACAGAAAAAACTTGTGGATCTCTGCTCTAAATTATTCTCTGATACACAGAGAAGTGTATTTTGAATACCAGTATTTATACAAGGCCAGAAAAGTCCTCACTGAAAATTAACACAGGCTTCTTGCCAGTTGTGTAGCTTAAATTTATGGATTTTTGAAGCTGTAACGTACCTTTGGTGATTATTTAAAATAAGCTGTATTTACTAGAAACTTCTTTTGGCCCATTTTTAACTGATAACTCATTATTTCAGGTTGAACTATTCAAGAATAGTTACACACTCTGGCTCATAAACTTAGCCTACCTCTGTCCTTACAGAATGTGAGAGCCATTTAGATTCACAGAGGGTAACATAGCCCAGGCTGATGGGAAAAAGCAGGTGGAGCTATGACTAGAGCCCTGGGTATACTGGATTTCTGCAGGGGCGGGCAGGGTGCTGCTGATACTGTCAGAATCTCAGCAGCTACCCCTTATAAAACCTTATGTATTTGGCACGATACTCTGTAGTCCTTATAAATCTCAACAAGAAACAAAAACCAACTGCTGAGAGTGGTAACTCAGCTAATAAGAGGCAAATTTGATTCTGAATTATTGCAGACACTGCTGTCTAAATTCTTAACTACATTGATATAATAGGAGGATAAATAAGGGAAAATTTAGAAATTTTGAGGCTTTATTGAACATTTATATAGGTCCGAAGACTTGCAAAATAAATAATTAAATCATTAAAAGATTTGGAAGAAACATCAACACGTTGAAAACTAAGGGAAGAAAACGAACAAGTTTACTTTTAAATGTAAATTCAAAAGAGCATACATTTCTGGCAATTAGAATAGCCCAGATTTTTAGCATTGTCCACAACAAACATCTTTCAGCAATATTTGGGAACAATGAAAAAGTACCCTAAATCTTTACCCAAGATTTATATGAAACGTTTAGAAGTCCTTGCCACTTCTCTCATCAGTTAATCACATATCAGCAAACTCATGGTTTGTGATTCTCATATTCCTGTAAATATTTTTTGAGAAATCAATGCAGTCTAACCCACAGGGCATGGCAGCCAAGATAAAAATTACTTACTTGGTCTTTCTCGTGGTCACTGCTACTACTGAGAGGGGGGAGTGGCAAGACTACAACGAAAGAAAGTATACAATGAATATGTTGACTCACAAGACATGCACAAATTCACTTCTCCCTCTTCTAACACGCAAATGCTAGAAGCAAGTCCCTCTTCCTACATTTTATTCCAATGTCTGCTCTCAAGCTCCCTTTCTAATTATTCGAGCTTATTCTTCACCACCTAGAATGAATTTTCTGCTCCAGACCTTGTCCCTGAACGCCTCATATCCTCATTTTATCAGTGCAGTTTTTCCTAACAAAGCTTCCCTGCCTCCTCTTCAGATCCTATTCTTTTTTCCCAAGGTTAGCTCAAATCCCACCCGTCTTCCTTGCAGATTGTCACGATGATTCCAGCTCATGCCAGTTTCCTCTCATCTGAACTCCATGTATCCATAGCTCGTATTTAATTACTGGCTAATCTCATACTCTGTTTCACATTTCATTTTGCCTTTCCATTGTAATCATAGCAGGGAAAGAGATCTCATGATCATGTGTTTCTTGGGTACCTTCTCCCATCACATACTGAAAAATAAATAGCCGATTTATTTGCAAAGTGACTCAAAAGAAGACATATGCCAAACTTACTTCTTAATCTACTTCTGGTTCTTTTCTTTTTTCTACCAGGATATAATTTTAAGGATTTCCTCTTTTGGCTACTGGTCCAAGATTGTTTACTGGTACTGGTACTTGAATCTTGACTACTCTCAGAGAAGAGATGTTTCCTGTAATTAAACTTTTACACACACAGAGGATAAATGAGAACTTTTAAAGGGGTGTTAGTGCACTCATGGACAATTAAATGGACTAATACAAATCTAGACATAGAAGTAACTCCTTCTAGAAGACTGGGATCTCACATAATGAAAAGACAAAGTAATAAGAAGAGAAAGAAGAGTCTCAAGCAAGCTGCTGTTGTAAAGGATGACAAAATCCTCTTGAATCAAATATTTGCAACTGAACAGATGTTAGATGACTGTACACAGCTGATGCGCCTTAATATTGTGCCAACATTATAACTTCAAAATACTAAATCAAATGGTAAAAGAAAGTATTAAAGTATTTTTTGCAAAGACAGTTCTCTTGCCTCACTCATCCTCCTGAGTAGCTAGGACTACAGGTGCCTGCCACAACACCTGGCTAGTTTGTGTATTTTTAGTACAGGTGAGGATTTTACTCTTGCTCAGGCTGGTCTCAAACTCCTGAGCTCAGGCAATCCACTCTCCTCAACCTCTCAGAGGCCTGGATTACAGGGGTGAGCCACCATGCCTGGCCCTCTCTATACTTTAAAAGAACTAAAACCAAACAGGAGGGTCATGTTCACGTAAACCTTAAAGCATTTTGAAATTAAGCCTGATACAGAAAATGTTAGCAATTTAGGGCAAGTGCAATCTTTCTAGTGGATTATTCCATTGAAAATTGATATTTGTATTTTTATTTCATAGTTTTTGGCCAGGGTTGGGTTTGAACACGCTACCTCCAACATATGGGGCCAGCACCCTACTCCTTTGAGCCACAGGTGCTGCCTGATATTTGTATTTTTTAAACATTTTCCTGTTTTTGTAATACTGTGACAAATAAATGTTTATGCTCAATTTTAGTAGGAAGTTTGTTTTAGTGTTAATAAAAAAGTATACTCTATTTGAGTCTATCTTTTGGATGCCTCCAGGGGCTTCCAGTCGCCAAACCACCCGGCCTCTCTGGGGGCTCCGCCATTCAACTGCTAACAACTCACGCTCATCTCAGACCAGGAAGGATTTATTAAGTTGGGACAGTAACTAAACAGCCTTCTCAGACAGGAAACACATCAGCTGGAAGACACACCCCCTGCCTAGAATGATGAAATGCAGACTCAACTCCCAACACTCACTAGGTCAGGGCTGGACCAATGTTACCCTTGTCGATAATAACATACCCATGAGATTTAAGGTAGGTGATGTTATCTAATTTTTCAAATGAATTCATTTTTTAAGAAATTACTTTTCCTTTCAAACGGTTAGCTGTTCAATGTTTTATAGAAAAGTTCATTTCTGGGTGGCACCTGTGGCTCAAAAGGGTAGGGCACTGGCTCCGTATGCCAGAGGTGGTGGGTTCAAACCGAGCCCTGGAAAAAAAAGAGTTTCTTTTTCTTAATGCTAAAAATGGCTCATATTTATGGTGTACAACATGATGTTTTGTAATACGTATACACTGTGGAATGGCTAAACCGAGCTAATTAATATACGTGTTACCTTTTTCTGGTTGTAAGTTCACCTAAAGTCTATTATCAATTTTAAAGTCTACATCATACTGTGTATGGCTATTAACTACAGTCGCCATGATACACAAGAGACCTTTTAAGCTTATTACTCCTAACTAGAGTTTTGTATCCTGTAACTATCTCCCCAATCCCAACCCCACCTAGCCCCAGATGACAGGTTCTACTCTGTTTTTCTGAGCTTGACTCCCTTAGATTCCATGTATATGTGAAATCACACAGTGTTTGACTTTATGCATCTGCCTCATTCACATAATGTCCTCCAGGTTCATCCATACTATTGCAAATGACAGGATTCCCTTCATTTTTAAGGCTAAGGGCATATATATTTATATACCCATATATATATATATAAATATATTTATTTATATTTCCTTTAGCCATTCATCTATCCACACACACTCAGGTTAGAGAAGGTCATTTCTAAAAGGAACTTGGCATCTCACGCAAGCATTTTTCCCATGCTTTCATTAAGGGGGAAAAAGCCCTGAAGGAACATGCACATTTATCCCCAAGTTCTCCAGTCCAGTGTCTTGCTCATTTAATGCATCCTCCATAGCCATGTAGCAAAGCTTTCCTGGTTTCTTTGGGTTTTTAATCAAAAGGAGTTGAAAGTTATTCACAAAAACAAAAGTATCTAGAACAGTGGTTCTTAATTTCACCCACACATGAGAATCACAAATAGGATTCTAAAACTAAATCTCAATGCCTGGGACTTGCTCTTGATCAATAAAGTCATCATCTGTGGGAAGGTCCCCACACTGAAATAGTTTCTCCAGCTCCCCAGATGATGCCAATCGGAGGCCTGAGAAGCATCACGAGGAGGAAGCCAGAATAAGCTTCCATCCATTTGCGTGGGGCTCAGGATCTCACTTTTAGAGAAACGTTTCATTGAATGTTCACTATGGAGATTTTTTTTTTTTTTAAAATACACTGACTACAAGCCTAGAGCTCTGGGTTTCCCAAGGTGAGAGACCACTGGACAGGTGTCGTATGACACACGCAGGCATGAAAACATGTCACTGAACAACACTGACTCAGAGGGAGACATTTCAATTCTTGAACAGGCCTGATCTATTGAGGATAAGGCTCAAATGCTAGTAGGCTTTAACACGTCTACTTACTAACCATTTAAAATAAGAAGCTTTAGACTCCAAGCCTAATAAAAGTTTTTTGGTTTTTTTTTTTTTTTTAAGAGTTTTAAGGAGAAAGACATAACCATCTCTGCATCTTTGATAGATCTAGAGCATCGGTTCTCAACCTGTGAGTCGCGACCCACGGGAACTGTATTAAAGGCTTGCAGCGTTAGGAAGGTTGAAAATCACTGCTTTAGCAGCTGTGAGTTTCGTTGTGGATTTCATGGGTAGTGCCCATTCTCACCACTGCTGCCATTTGGGGCCATAATAGAAGGGCACACTCATCATCTCTCATCTAAGGCTAAATGAGCACTTACTACAGTAGCAAAGGACTGCCTGAAGGGGTATTTTATTTTTCCATTGTCTTTAAGCCTTCAAAGTAAGACTTGACTTGAAATGTTATGTCCTGCTCAGTTTATTGACTGGTCTCATTTATCTGTTCATCTAACTACATGAGACTGAATATGGTAGATTTGTCTTTTCACAGTTCATAGTTAATAAGGCCCAGTATAGGCAATGAATAAAAAATAAGAAATAAATTAGGTGAAAGTATACTTCAAGAGGCTAACCTTGTTACTTTCAATTGTATTTAATTTGGGAGCTTATCTACCATGTTACAAGTAATACTTTCCATTTGAAAGTGAAATAATTCCTTTTCAAATAAGTTTAATATAAATTTAATTAAGAAAAAATGTAGATAATAAAAAGAGCTTTGGCCCATTTTGAAGACTGTATGCAAATAATCACAATTTGGGAAGTATTGCCTTAAAGTTAGTATATTACCAGCATCCTTGTTTCCCGCTTTCTGTCATCCTTGAAAATAGAATCTGCCCTGAAACAAAATACATCAAATTAATGGAAATGGTGAAACCATCACCCACCTCCTTGGCTTACTTCATACTCCTAACAGTTTTTTCCTTCCTGTGTCCTCTGTCCCTCTCATGAGACCTTGGCATGTGCCCCACTCTGCAGGCAACTTAGTATCCTGCAATCTAGTTCCATAGGTTCTGTGGCAGACAGCAACTGTTTACTTAAAATGAAACAGTTGTTGTGGTGGCTCACACCTGTAATCCTAGCACTTTGGGAGGCTGGGTGGGGGATAAATCACTTCAGCTCAAGAGCTCAAGACCAGCTTGAACAAGAGCAAGACCCCCATCTCTACTAAAAATAAAAAAAAACTAGCCGGGGATTATAGTGAGCTTCTTGGGAGGCTGAGGCAAGAGGATTGCTTAAGTCCAAGAGTTTGAAGTTGCTGCAAGCTATGATGCCACAGGTGACAGGGTGAGACTCTGTCTCTCAAAAAATCAATTAATAAAACAAACAAAAAAAATATTTCTTGAACCCATTGCCTGTCAGGCATACAAATAAGGAGAGGGAAAAGTAGAATCAGCAAATAATCAGCTGGCTGGACCAGTGCTGAAAAGTTGTAGTTTCTAAATTTGGCTCTTAGAATCACCTGAGATACTTTATTTTCTTTATTTTTTTGAGACAGAGTCTCACTTTGTGACCCTCACTAGAGTGCTGTGGCATCACAGTTCACAGAAACATCAAACTCTTGGGCTTAAGTAATCTCTTGCCTAAGCCTCCCAAGTAGCTGGGACTACAGGCACCCACCATAACGTCCGCTATTTTTAGAGATGAAGTCTTGCTCTGGCTCAGGGTGGTCTCAAACTTGTGAGCTCAGGAAATCCACCCAGCGTGGCTTCCCAGAGTGCTGAGATTACAGGCTTAAGCCACAGCACCTGGCCCCCCTGAGGTTCTTTAGATGAAAGCTACCCCTAGCGATAAGTGATGCTTAGCTTCCTTCATACACCTGTCTCGGCACTTGTAAATCTTCTTTGCAGAAATATCTAGTCAACTCTTTTGCTCATTTTTATTTTATTTATTTATTTATTTATTTATTTATTTTTGAGACAGAGCCATAAGCTGTCCCCCTGGGTAGAGTGCTATGGCATCACAGCTCACAGCAACCTCCAACTCCTGGGCTCAAGTGATTCTCCTGCCTCAGCTTCCCAAGTAGCGGGATTACAAGCACCAGCCACAACGCCTGGCTATTTTTTGGTTGCAGCCGTCATTGTTGTTTGGCAGGTCCAGGCTGGATTCGAATCCACCAGCTCAGGTGTATTTGGCTGGCACCTTAGCTGCTTGAGCCACAGGCACCGAGCCTTTTGCCCATTTTTAATTGATTTGATTTTTTTGCTATTGAATTATAGGAGTTTCTCATATATTTTTAATATTAACCTCTTATCAGATATATGGTCTGAATATAAAAAATAAAAGACAACAAGTGCTGTGCTGGTGAGTATATGGAACAAGTGGAACCGTTGTACACTGTCGGGGGAAATGTGAAACAGCATAGCCTCTATGGAAAACAGTTTGGTGGCCCTGCAATAAATTGAAAATAGAACTACAATATGATCCAACAATCCCACTGCTGGGTATATATTCTGAAGGTATTGAAAAGAGTTTGTGGAAGAGATATGTGCATGCCTATGTTCACTGCAGTATCATTCACAATAGCCAAGATATAAAATCAACCTAAGGGTCCATTAGCAGATGAACGGATAAATGAAATGTGAACACAAACAATGTAGCCCTAAGAAAGAAGGAAATTCAAGAATGTCTGACAACACAGATGCACCTGGAGGACATTATGTTAAGTGAGATGAGCACTCGCAGAAGGACAAATACCTCATGATCCCACTGATCTGAGGTATCTGAAATAGTCAAGCTCATAGAGAGTAGATTGGCAGTTGCCAGAGGCCAGGGAGCAGGGGAAATGGGAGCTGTTGTTCAATGGGTATAAAGTGCCAGTCATACACTTACGAGGTTAGCTCTAGAGATCTGTTGTAAAACATTGTGCGTATCATTAACAATGCTATACTGTGCCCTTAAAAATGTGTTAGGAGGGTAGACCTCATGCTAAGTGTTCTTATCACAACCAACAAAACAGAAAAAGCTAATGTACCACCATTTCTGGGCAACCACTGATCTGTCTCTATAATTTCAGAAATTTTTTTTTTATTGTTTGGGATTCATTGAGGGTACAAAGAATTAGGTTACAGTGATTGCATTTGTTAAGTAAAGTCCCTCTTATAATAGTGTCTTGCCCCCAAGAGGAGTAGCACATGCCAGTTTCAGAATTTTCTAGAATTTCATATGCTATTCATATTCTAGAATTTTATATCAATGAAATTATACAATGTGCATTCTTTTTGTCTGGCTTCTCACTTGCCATAATTATTTTGAGATTCATTCATGTATTTCAATAGTTCTTTCCTTTTTATATCTGTGTTGTATTCCATTGTATAAATGCACTGAAACTTGTTTATTCACTCATCTACTAATGGACAGTTGGGTTATTTCATTTGGAGCTATTATAAAGAAAGCTGCTATAAACATTTGTGTATATTCCTTTGTGTGGACACGCGCAGTCATTTCTCCTGGGCAAACACCTAGAATTGTAATACAAGGTTGTAGGTTAGGTATTATTTAACATTTTAAGAAACTAAATATATAAGAGTTCCAGTTGCTCCATATTTTCACCACTTATATTGACTTGGTACAGTCTATTAGTAACATTAGTCTTTCCAATAGATGTGTAGTACATCTCATAGTTTTAATTTATATTTCTCTAGTACTAATTGGGCAAATTTCATGTGCTTATCTACTATCTGTGTATCTTCCTTGGTAAAGTAGCTGTCTAAATCTTATGACAATATTTTCATTGAATTATATTCTTATTATTGAATTTTATGAATTTGTAATATAATTCAGACACAAGCCCTTTATCAGATGTGTTTTATAAATATTAATATTTCCTGCAAGGCTGTGGCTTGTTCTTTTCTTCCCCTAAACCTGATTTTCTTCCTTTCTTTTTTTTTTGAGACAGAGCCTCAAGCTGTTGCGCTGGGTAGAGTGCTGTGGCATCATAGCTGACAGCAACCTCAAACTCCTGGGCTGAAGTGAGTCTCTTGCCTCAGCCACCTAAGTAGCTGGGACTACAGGCACCCGCCACAATGTCCCGCTATTTTTTGGTTGTAGTTGTCGTCGTTGTTTGGTGGGCCGGGGCTGGATTTGAACCTGCCAGCTCAGGTGTATGTGGCTACACCCTAGCTGCTTGAGCTACAGGTGCAGAGCTCCTTAAAGTGGTTTTCAAAGAATGTTTCTTTTTTAATTTTCATAAAATCTAATTTATCAATTTATTCTTTTACTGTTTTTTTTTTTTTTTTGGCAGTTTTTGGCCAGGGCCGAGTTTGAACCTGCCACCTCCAGTATATGGGGCTGGTGCCCTACTCCTTGAGCCACAGGCGCTGCCCTCTTCTACTGTCTTTTGGTGTTATTTTTCAGGAATCTTTGCCTAAAACAAGATCATAAAGATTTTTTTTTCTTATGTTTTCTTTCAAACAGGTTGTACATTTAGGTCTATGATCCATTTTTAGTTAATGTTTTATACAATGGAAAGTAATCATAGGTCATTTATTTGCTCATATACAGATATTTAATTGTTCTAACATCCTTTGTTGAAAAACTTATCCTTTCTCCATGGAACTGTCTTTGCATTTTTATCATAGACCAGCTGTCCATATACATGCGGGTCTTATCTTTGGGCTTTCTAGTCTGTTTTGTCTGTCTTACAAATACCATACTCTCTTGGTTAATGCAGCTTTATTATAAATCCTAAAAACACGTAGGAGGTAAGCCCTTCAGCTTATGTTTCTTTTTGAAATTTATCTGGGCTATTATCTATAATAAGTCCTTTATTATTTATTTCATATTATAGGTCCTTTAAATTTCCACATGATATTTAGAAATAGCTTGCCAATTTCTTTCTTTCCTTCTTTTGAGACAGGGTCTCACTCTGTTGCCCTGGGTAGAGTGCCATGGCATCATAGCTCACAGCTACCTCAAAGTCTTGGGCTCAAGCAATCTTCATGCCTCAGCCTCCCCAGTAGCTAGGACTACAGGTGCCCACCATGATAGCCAGCTAGTTTTTCTATTTTTAGCAGAGACAGATTTGTTCTTCCCCAGGCTGGTCTCCAACTCCTGAGCTGAAGCAATCCAGCCACCTCGGCCTCCCAGAGTGCTAGGGCTATAGGCGTGAGCCATTACACCCAGCCAGCTTTCCAGTTTCTTAAATTAAAAAGAAAAACAGGCTCAGCACCCGTGGCTCAAGCGGCCAAGGCGCTAGCAACATATACCTGAGCTGGCAGGTTCCAATCCAGCCCAGGCCCGCCAAACAACAATGACAGCTGCAACCAAAAAATAGCTGGGTATTGTGGCAGATGCCTGTAGTCCCATGTACTTGGGAGGCAGAGGCAGGAGAATTGCTTGAGCCCATGAGTTGGAGGTAACTGTGAGCTGTGATGCCACAGCACTCTACCCAGGGTGACAGCTTGAGGCTCTGTCTCAAAAAAAAAAAAAGAAAAGAAAAGAAAAGAAAAGTAAAATATCTCCTGGGATCTGAATCAGGAATTGTATTGAATCCCTGGATCAATTTGAGAAGAATTGGCATCTTAATATTGAGTCTTCCATCTCATAAGCATATATCTATCTATACATAGTTAGAGCTTTAATTTCTTTAGCTTTCAATGTGAGGGGTGTTGGGGAGTTCTTGAAGATCTTTTATCAAATTAAACCTTAAGTGTGTCGTATTTTAAAAGGTATTGCTTTTTATTTCAATTTCTTATTGGTAATACAGAAAACTAATTTTTGTATGTTGATCTTGTGTCCTTCAATCTCAGATTCAGTGTTTTGCTACAGAAAAATACATTGCCAAAGGGAACCCCAGAGGTGCAATGGTAGAGGCCTATAGGTTACCAGAGCTTGCCAACTGCTTGGATCATTCTACAGAAAACTTCACACAACACTCTCTCCTTGTGGGTGTATCAGGGCTGGGGAGAGCGGACAACCAGACATAGGAAAGGGAGAAACCTGGATAAAAACCTAGATGGGAGACTTGTAGTACTCACATAAACAATAGTCTACATCATTTATTAGTTTTAAAAATCACTTACCCAGATTTGTCACTTAATTTAGGAGACTGAATTTTAACTGATTGTTCTTGTAAATCTGAAGGTGGTGCTGACGTAACTTCTAATGACAAAAATTAAAGACAGAGAATGTTAAGCATTTCAAGCAAAATTTAATCATACAACTCAAATCTTATTTACAATAGATAAAATATATCTGACCTTGTGTATCATCCATTTCCAGTTTTCCAGATGAACTCCCAACTCTATCTGTTTGCTACAGAAAAGCCAAAAATGTATATTATGTTATCTTCAAAGCTTCTCTTTTGGAAGTCTTTTGGAACCACTTCCTACCTCATTAAAAAAAGCATACCATTGGGGTGGTGCCTCTGGCTCAAAGGAGTAGGGCGCTGGCCCCATATACCAGAGGTGGCGGGTTCAAACCCGGCCCCAGCCAAAAATTGCAAAAAAAAGAAAAGAAAGAAAGAAAACATACCATTGAATACTAAGGATAGCAGGCCTACATTGATACATAAATTTTATTGGCATCAAATGATGACTAGATGTTCCCCAAAATTCATATTTACCCTCAGGAAAGGATATGCCACCCTCAAAGACAAATGCAAAGGGTGTTATAGATACTAAGGGACAGGAATATTCTCAAAAGTGTCTTCAACAGTGTCAGCACTGCTGGAAAAAGTACACAACTTCCCAAGGAGACTGGGGAAAATATGAACGTTTATCTAGAGGAATAATCTTCAGGACGTTTTAAGAAAAACTATGATACTATGTCACACTTCTACATAATGCATTCACGTAATCAAATCTGAGAAAATGAGGAACAGACTAAACACCCACATGCCGCTCTCCACGGTGCTCTACATACATTGTTTTTTCATCCTACCAGGGCCACTCCTGCCAACTAGCTGGATGAGAAGCCTCAGGCTCCTTGACGTGAAATAATTTCCTCAAGTTACCACAGTAAGTGAAAACCAAGGCTGACTCCAACATTAGGCTCCTTTCCCTATATCTTAGTCTACAGATACCAAATGAATCATGGATTCACTCCACAGGAAAGAGAGTGGAATGGAAGAGAGAATATACAAACATGGCAGACAAAATAATCCCTAGGAGGAGATGGTCAAACAGAAAATGGTCTACAAGTCAGGAGACGCAGCTTCCACATAACTGCCCCCTAGTGGACAGTGATCAGAACCTTGAGCCCAACTCCTTGTACTCACAGATAGGTCACTGACGGGGAGAGTTAGTAGGCAACGGTCATCTTCAGAACCCACAAATTCCACCAGGTCAGTGGATTCTTCTGCCTGCTCTATACACATTAAGCAAAGAACATTTAAATAATAATAACCATTCACATTCTCTGACACACTTGCCATTGCTCTTCATGGGATACCAACCTCAGGCAGCTCACCATGTTTTGGGAAGAGCGGGTAATGAGGTCTCTCTCAGGCCTCAAATTAGAAATCTAAAGGCACTCGAGAAAACAGCCTTGGGGGGTAACTCTAGAGCAGGTCACTCTGTGAACAGACAAGACCCTCCCTGCTCCCACCTCCTGCCTCCGCATCACGGTTCTCCTTCATCACTTCCAGCTGACCCACACAAGAGACTTTATAGGTGTGAAAAATGATTCAAGGCTAGGAGCCACTCTTCCTCCTCCAGGAAGTCCAGAGGTACAATCGGACACTTACTATGCTTACATGAACACGGGTCCCACTGACCTCTTCCAACTGAGGTCTCTCTCATCTCTGCTTTGGTAGGGAAGTCACTGTCGGAGTTCTGTTATTTCCCAACATACCTGTCTCCCTTTCATGGCTGGTAGGAATCTTGGTGTCTTCTTTCTCAGACTCAATAAAAAGTTCTGAGGAAGTTTTCGTCTGTTCAGGCAACATCTGAAATGCAAGCCAGAAGTTGCATGACTTTTAAAAGTAGTGATCTTTAAAAAGAAAAGTTTAAGGAAAACGAAAAGCTTAGAACATAGCACACAGATAAATTAGAAATCAGTCTTCAATTTCTTTCTTAAAGGATCATGTTATTGTTTCCAGCTTCTCTACCACACACACACCCCGCCCCAAGGACCAGCTATGCACAGCCCCTGCGCTACTACCAACTCCTCTCTGCCAGTATCTTCCCAGCCTCTCCTTCCTCCAGCTCCAATTTGTGTTTTCTTTTTTGACAGTTTTTGCCTGGGGCTGGGTTTGAACCTGCTACCTCTGGCATGTGGAGCCTATTCCTTTGAGCCACACGCGCTGCCCCTCCACCTCCAATCTAACCTCCTTGGTACCTCATAAATCCCTATTTCGCTAAGGGACTGAGCTTCTCTTTCTCAGGATGGGTCTGCAGTGAGTTTCCCCCTGCAGGGTCCTGCAGTCCAATCTGTTCCTCACAGAGGCCTCATATTCTAGGAACTGCAGTGTGACCACATGCAAACCCCAGTTCTCCCCCCAAAGTATTTTATTCATTTTGTGAAATGTGAAAAGACAAGATTTTGATGTTTTTCCTAAGGGCAAATATATCACATCAGGACAATTCATATGTAATGTGATGAGGGAGCCACTTTTTTTTTATTAAGTGATTGGTTTTCCTTTATTTCTCATCCTCACCCATGATATGATCTTCTTATTAAAAGATATTTCATTAGCTCGGGCACAGTGCCTGTAATCCTAGCACTCTAGGAGGCTGAAGCAGGTAGATTGCTTGAGCTCAGGAGTTCAAGACCAGCCCCAAAAGCAAGACCCCGTTTCTACTAAAAATAGAAAAACTGAGGCAAGAAGATCGCTTGAGCCCAAGTTAGAGGTGGCTATGAGCTATGATGCCACAGCACCCTACCCGGGGTGACAGCTTGAAACTGTCTCAAAAACATATATATATATTTCATTAAAATGAGTTTTTAAAACTATATTTGCAGAGCACTTTACTGTGTCAACATCTTCATACACAATAGCAACCAAAAGAAAGCTGGCCCAAGACTTTCTCCTCAGGAAGAAAAGGTCCTCTGACCTCTTCATTCAATTCCCCAGTGGCCATTATCATGATATTTTTGTCTTCTTGTCAAAAATTTCGTTTCCCTGCCTGCCATTTGTGATAGAGAAAGGTTTCTTAGTCCTATGAATAAATAGGAAACATCATAGTCAGAAAGTGAGAGAGGATATAAGTCTAGAGAGATCATTTCCTCAAGGTAAGACCACAAGGTAGAATGTTGGCAAAACTCATAAACCCTATTTCTAATGACCTCCTCTAGGTCCCAGAGGAGCAGAGAGAGGAGATGCCACCAACCCCACAGTAAGTATCCTCAGAACTCCAGCAAGAATGTGGTAAGAAGGTGATATCATCCCAGAAAACCTTTCAACTGTTTACAATAAAAAGAATAAGACAAGGCCAAGCACATGGCTCACACCTGTAACCCCAGGACCCCGAGAGGCTGAGCCAGATGGATTGCTTGAGCTCAGGAGTTTGAGACCAGCCTGAGCAAGAGTGAGACCCTGTCTCTAAAAATAGCCAGGTGCTGTGGTCCCAGCTACTAAGGAGGCCAAGGCAAGAGAATCATTTGAGCCCAAGAGTTTGAGGTTGCTGTGAGCTGTGATGCCAAGGCATTCAATCCCCTGGTCAAATGAGTGAGACTCTGTCTCAAAATATAAAAATTAAAATAACATAACATAAAATAAGCATTTCAAGGCACAAAGAGGCTTTGTGTCCCATGTCATCAAGTCAATGAGACATGAAAGGGAAGAACAAAAATTGGAATCCAGAACTCTCCGTACTTCTTACATGGCACTCGAAAGACTAGGTCTTCCTCCTGATCAGATACTCTCAATTAAACCCCACGAGGAAATTAAAAAGATATGAGACATAATAAACATTTTCAAATAATCAAAAAGAATAAAACCTGCCATGTGTTTATCTTCTCCTAAAGCTTGAGTGGAAGCTTGCAATACGTTGAATTGCAAATCAAAATGGATTTCTATTCTCATCACTTCTTTTTTGCTGATAATAACAGGCTTCTTCAGGTAAATGACAAATACCTTCAGCTCCTCAGTTTCTAACAAAAAAATACAGTATATCAACACATAGCAACACCGAAAGGTTAAAATTTTAAGTAACTTCACTGAGATATTTGTCAACTGTCCAGATCAGGCACCCTCATGCGGCCCACCTAGGACATTTATCTGGCCTGCTGGGTGTTTTTGCCACCACTGCCTGTCCTGCTTAGCAGCTGACTCGTCCTGGGGCCCACAGTCTGGCCCTCCAACGGTCTGAGGGACAGTGAACTGGCCCCCTTTTTAAAAAAGTTTGAGGACCCCTGGTCTAGATTTTTCTAATAAGAAATTAAAAAGAAATAAAAATTACTTTGAAATTCTTTTAGTAGAGGCACGTGTATTTATATATACAATTAGGATATGAGTAACTGGTTGATCTTACAAAAAAATAGAAAGTAGCTTATCTCAGCAGAAAAAAATAGCAGTAATTTTATCTTCTGGAATTCAATCAGTTTTTTAAGAGCATTTACACAAAAATGGAGTCTCACTTTAGCACCCTCGGTAGAGTGCCATGGCATCACAGCTCATAGCAACCCCAAACTCTTAGGCTCAAGTGATTCTCTTGTCTCAGCTTTCCAAGTAGGTGGGACTACAGGCACCTGCCACAACACCTATCTATTCTTTTTCTGAAACAGAGTCTCACTATGTCGCCCTTGGTAGAATGCAGTAGCATCACAGCTCATAGCAACCTCAAACTCTTGGGCTTAAGTGATTCTCTTGTCTCAGCCTCCCAAGTACTGGGAGTACAGGCATCCACCACAATGCCCAGCTACTTTTTTGTTATTGCTGTCATTGTTGTTTAGCAGGCCCTGGCCAGGTTTGAACACACCAGCCCTGGAACATGTGGCCTGTGCCCTAACCACTGATTTGTGGGTGCTGAGCCAAGATAATACTTTTGATTGGATTAAATGTTTTATTAAAATTAATCTAATTTTGGCTGGGCACAGTGGCTCACACCTGTAATCCTAGTACTTTTGGAAAGCCAAGGTGGGTAGATTACCTGAACTTACAGGTTCAAGACCAGCCTGACCAAGAGCCAGAACCTGTCTCTAAAAAAACAGGTTGGCATTGTGGTGGGCCTCTGTAGTCCCAGCTACTATGGAGGCTGAGGCAAGAGGATCACTTGAGCCCAAGAGTTGGAGGTTTCTGTGAGCTATGATGCCATAGCACTCTACCAAAGATGACAAAGTGAGACTCTGTCTCAAAACAAAAACAAACAAACAAAAAAAAACAACTGGTCTACTTTTTTATTTAATGTGATTACAAGAAAATTTTAAATTCTGTTTGTGGCTCACATTAAATTTCTATAGGACAATCCAGAGGAGTGGTTTTCCAACCATTTTTATCTCACAGTACACTCGAACTACTTCCACGGCACACTTAAATTATGTTGATCCAAAAAAAGTAAAAAAAAGAATATACTTACTGTGCTTTGAACTTCTTTCAAAAATAATGAATCTTTATAAATTTTTGTGGCACACCTAAGATCCTCCATTAGCATACAAAAATCACTGGTCTCGAGTAAAGCTCAGTGATCTCCCCAAAATACTGATATTACTGAATATTACTCATCACTTCAGGGAACATCTATTAAACCTTGCAACAAAAGTCATCCTAAAAAGTATCTGAGAAAGTAAATAACAGTTGGGCTGTGAGGATCACTGTAAACATAGAAGCGTCAGAAAAAATACCCTGAAGGCTACAGCAAGCTTCTAATATCCTACGTTGCCAATTCCTTAACCAGAAGGACTATGATACAAAAAGTCTTGCTTGCAAAATTTACTAGACAATCTTCAGTTTCCTTGGCTATAAACATGGAAGGAGTAGCACCTACTTCCTCTAGATACCGTGTCAATTATCAGTTCTCATAAAATTGCAGTATATTGATGAAGTCTAGAATATTAACTTTAGCAAGGTTCTTCCTGGAAACCGCTATCATAGCAAACTTTACAGATGAGAAACAAAATCAGAAAAACAAGTTAGAACTACCCCAGGCAGAAAACTTATGGCAGTACTTAAAAAATATTTAGGTTGGCCAGGTGCTGTTGCTCCCGCTGGTAATCTCTGCACCTGGGAGGCCAAGGTGGACTGCCTGAGCTCACAGGTTCAAGACTAGCCTGAGCCAGACCGAGATCTCGTCTCTAAAATAGCCAGCCATTGTGGTGGGCGTCTCAGACTGAGGCAAGAGGATTGCTTAAACCCAGGAGTTTGAGGTTGCTGTGAGCTATGACACCGTGGCACTCTACTAAGCATGACAAAGTGAGACTCTGTCTCAAAAAGAAAAATTTATGTTTACGGAAAGTAAATAACAGTGCCATTTCATTCATATCCTGAATTACATAATAGTAACAGATAATTACTATATAAATTAAGACACTGGAAAGGAAAATAAAAATCTCCTCAACTCCTTGGCCAAAGGGAAGGTCAAGCCTGGAGGTGGAGTCATGCAACACCCACCTCCAAATGAACAGCTGTTACTAACATGATGCATTAGCCAGATCCCCACAGAAAGGTGAAAGGCCTCAGGTGTCTAGGAGGACTGTCCCCATGGATCACTCATAAGGAAAATGCTTGCTGGCCCCCCACAGAAATGCATATTATAACTTTAGGTCTGCAGGCTAAATCTAGCTCCTAAAATCCAAGCCTGTTCGATTTCACATTAATAATACTGATTACAAGTTTTTCTTCCCAGATTCAGAACAGAGACAAGATCAATTATCCTTCTACCTACCCAGAGATATCTACAGTTGATTCTTCCTTCACTCCCTTTTTCTCTTTGAATTTTTGCCTTATCTTATGTAAAAAGTAGATTTTCTGGGTTTCCTAAGAATGTAACCATTAATCTGTGTAGCCTCCTCCTTTTTCTTTCTGTATGTCTCCTCCCCTTAAGTACTGAGTTCCTAAATCTGCTTGGGAAGAAAACAGTCAAAGATGTGCCTGTGGCTTGTCTTTTTCCTGGATGGAAACTTTGGCTTAAAAAACTTCCATTGATGGGTGGTGCCTGTGGCTCAAAGGAGTAGAGCACCGGCCCCACATACCAGTGGTGGCAGGTTCAAACCAGCCCTGGGCAAAAACCGCAAAAAAATCCCCCAAAACAAAAAACTTCTATTGATTGAGATCTTTGCCTCAGTCACATTTTGACATTTTGAAAAGTCACACTTTTCATTTATGATCACATTTTGTATTTCTATCTAGATGTTTGCAAAGCTCTTGCCTTGACTACATACATATGTTATAGCTTTACCAGGTTCATTGCCCCCTGCTCAAGAGGAAACAGAGGTTACAGCAGAACAGGTGCCATATGAGGCGACAGGAAGAAGTTCTCAAGTCTGTATCTCCATGAATTAGGGAGAAAGGGCTTTTCAAGATAGTTTTGCAGGGAAAGGGCTAGGCGATTTGGTCTGCTAATTGTCTGGATTTAGGGTGGGAACACAGGGTGTAGAAACATCATCTTTGCTGAGTTGGTTCTTGGGTAGGGGTCACAAGACTAGTTGAGTAAGTTCCTCAGTCTGGGCCACTGGTCTAAGTGGGTCAGTTGATCCCTGGGAATGCAGGACCTGGAAGGTATCCCAGAAACTAGCCTCAGGTTTCCCAAGGGTGATGTTATGTATAGCAGTGATGAAGAAAGCCGAGAATCTTTGTGATCATCAGCTGTATGATTCTGAGTAGTAAACAATTATGAGAAAGCAAGCTAGGGAACAACGGCTAGTTACATGTATTAATATATTCCCCATATGAAAAAAATGCTCATCATCCTTAATCATCAGAGAAAGGCAAATCAAAACTACTTTGAGATATCATCTAACTCCAATAAGATTAGCCCATATCACAAAATCCTGAAACCAGAGATGCTGGTGTGGATATGGAGAAAAGGGAACACTTCTACACTGCTGGTGAGAATGTAAACTAATACGGTCCTTTTGGAAAGAAGTCTGGAGAATACTTAGAGAACTAAAAATAGACCTGCCATTTGATCCTACAATTCCTCTACTAGGTATATATCCAGAAGACCAAAACTCACACTACAACAAAGATATTTGTACCAGAATGTTTATTGCAGCCCAATTCATAATTGCTAGGTCATGGAAGAAGCCCAAGTGCCTATTGACACATGAAAGGATCAATAAATTGTAGTATATGTACACCATGGAATATTATGCAGCCCTAAAGAAAGATGGAGACTTTACCTCCTTCATGTTTACATGGATGGAGCTGGAAAATATTCTTATTAGCAAAGTATCTCAAGAATGGAAGAAAAAGTATCCAATATACTCAGCCCTGCTATGAAACTAATTTATAGCTTTCATAGGAAAGCTATAATCCAATTATAGCCCAAGAATATGGGGTAAGGGGAGAGAGACGGGGTGGGGGAGGCTGGGTGGAGGGATCACGCCTATGGTTCATCATACAAGGGTACACGCGAATCTTTCTAAACATAGAATATAAATGTCTTAATATAATAACTAAGAAAATGACATGAAGGCCATATTAACTAGTTTGATGAAAATATTTCAAATTGTATATAAAACCAGCACACTGTACCCCATGACTGCATTCATGTACACAGCTATGATTTAATTAAAAAAAGATTAAAAAATATTTATTTCCCATACTACAGTTCCCACTTTGTGGTCCCTTATTAATTTTATAATGTAAAGGGCAATTTCACATATAGGAAGTACCTGAACTCAATGTAGACCTTCCAATTCGGTGACTGAACATAATTGCCACCTCTTCTCATTTATCTGAGTTCTCTCAACCCCCAACCACCCCAGACATTAGCAGGTACAGTTCCAATGTCCACACTCACTTTTCTTCAGCTTTCCTTCATTTTTTCAGAGCCTCACTATGAAAGACTCTCCTCCTCTCCTACTGACTTTACTTCCTAATCTATTCCCTAACTGAAATACCTCTCTCTTTCTAATAATCCCAACAGAAGAAACTCAAAATCAAAACAAAACAAAAAAAAACCTACAGGGGAATAACTGTGAGATTCTGAAATTGACCAAGAGTTACTGGGGGCCTGTCTGCCATATCCTCCTGGGTTATCTATATTTTGCACTGTCTTTGAGCTATTCTATAATTCTGTAAGTTGCAGAAAACTGATAATAATGCAAATAATTCTTGTCTACAGAAATGCAAATTATAGTGTCTACGGTATGAAACCATCTAGTTTCACATCTGTTTGTAAATTAATCTGAGTATCATGTATATACATGTGGTTCTTGGGAACTACAATTTTCCCTTCACTGGTTATTAGATCTTATTTTCTCAGCAATTAATAAATTAAACAAAATCCTCAACACATGTTCATTCTGTATTTGTCATGATTTCACATTCTCAAAAATTATCTTTTAAGCAGAACACCAAAGTTAATTAATTGTATACATGAAATTCTAGCAAGGGAACTCAGGGTTATAGGATTACCCTTAAACAGTCTGATGGGAGAACATCTAGTTAGTGTTAAAGGTTAGGAAGGTTCGTTCTCCTCAAGTCTTTCACAATGAGATTGTTACAAATTGTGTTTCACTTTTTACTCTGGCTTCCCAGAAGTGAAGCATTAAATGTGAATCTCCAAGGTGGCCGTTATAGATTAGTCTCCATGATAGACATTTTTATTCTTGTCTGTGGTTCCAATTTTCTATTTCTATTATTTTGGCATAAATGTGTAAGAAAGTATAACATCCCTGCAATTACATAATTTTAGTTTTAACTCTTTAGCAAACCCAGTTACTTAGAAATGTATGTATACTTAGTTACTTTCAAAAACATCCATCTATTTTTTAAAGATCTAATTCAGAAAACCTGATCAAGTATGCTGAACTGGATTAACAATTTACACACACCCCCGCCACAAAATGATCACTCCTGATTTTACACCCCTCAATGCTTTCTACCAAGCTGAGATAAAAGGTGAATGAACTGGTTATTAAATCTTTTTTTTTTTTTTTTAAAGACAGAGTCTCACTTTGTCACCCTCAATAGAGGGCTGTGGCATCACAGCTCACAGCAACCTCCAGCTCTTGGGCTTAGGCGATTCTCTTGCCTCAGCCTCCCGAGTAGCTGGGACTACAGGTGCCTGCCACAACACCCGGCTTTTTTTTGTTGTTGCAGTTTGGCCAGGGCTGGGTTCAAACCCACCATCCTCAGTATAGGGCCCGTGCCCTACTCACTGAGCCACAGGCACCGCCCAGTTTCCTTTCTTTTTAAAACTGAATAATATCCCATTGTATGTACAGATTACATTTTGTTTATCCATTCATCTCTCCATGGACATTTGGGTTGTTTCCAACTTTTGGCTATTCCGAAGCTGCTAAAAACATAGGTATACAAATAACTCTTTGAGATTCTCCTTTCAATTCTTTTGGCTATATACTCAGAAGTGAGCTTGCTGGACCATATAGTAGTCCTACTTTTAATTTTTTGAGAAACTATAACCATTTTTACAATGAGAAAACTAGGCAAGTAAGTGAACATCAATATCACAAAGCAAACAAGTCAGCAGTCTGTAACAACGAGCTTTCCATTATATATGCAGCCTTTCTTCCACCTCAAGTCATGATCAAATATATCCTAGAATTAACATACACTGCAAAATAGAAACAATACTCAGAACTAATGCGGGTAGTTCAAAATTATCATCTTACCTGTTATGGCAAAATTCATCACTACTTCCTTCGAAAGTCTTACCAAGTCCCACAGAGTACTCTTGGAAAAATAAACAAGTGAAATTCATGAGCACATAATATATATCTACAAACGAACAATTTCTAAGGGCTTAGGTCTAATCAGGAGTCAATCCTCATTACCTCAGCATTATCTATATAAAAAGTTATACTCCGACTTCCTAAGTTGAAATCAATCCAAAATTTCTCTAGTTTTTCATCTGCTGGTTTTCTCACCTGTAAGAGGGAATTTCAGCATGAATTATACATATAAAAAAATCATGTTAAAGTCAGATAAAAACTATTCTATTAAAAAGAGAACTTGCACTTTACCTGCAAAAACATTATCTTAACATTGTAGGGCCTCTGTTTATTATCTGACTTATTTATGCAGGAGAGGAGAAGGATCTCAATTGTATATAACTAAGCCATTAAGAAATTCCCACTATTTTAGCATATTTATCAGAATGACACCATCTATATATTTTTTTCTAGATAGAATTTTGGAGAAAACAGTTCTCTGTTAAAGCTCTAACAATCCACACTACATATGGATGGAAACTTCTGGAGGAGTTAATTGTGATCAAATATATGTGTGGATTTGCCATTGACTTGCCAATTAAAGACTTGGAGATTTCAAATTACCTTCATTTTCATTATAAAATAAGACATATTTATAGAAACAGTAAACATCTGCTTCTGTGCCCCACAACATCCCACATGTACCTATCCATAAGTACCAATTACAATACCTGTGTTTCTCCTTTAGGTGATTTCTAGACATCTATCAAGAAATATATCTAAAGGTTTTATTTCTCAACAATGAAGCAAACACTGAACTTGCTACTTACTCTACAACCTGATTTTTCCATAAGCAGTATTACTCGGACATCTTTCCTTTTCATCATACATGCCTACATTTTAATAACTATACAGCAGACTGAAGGGTTTAACCCATGACACCCATGGAATCCAGTGTAAGGGTGAGTGTAAGGGCCCTGATGGAAGCAGCTGGAAATCTGGAAGTCCTAGAAAGAGAAGCAAGCAGAGAACAGAATCCTCAGACAACCAGAGGATCTGGAAAATCAGAATTGAGACACAGGAATCCGTCTCCCAAAATCAGTTCTAGAGAGAGGCAACATGAAGGTTCAGTTCACAGAGGCCAAGGAGGAGACTCTGTACCCAACACAAGAAAATGGTGAATGAGGACATTGTGAGGATAGGGTCTGGGAAACCTCAGCCTAGCCAAGGTTCCAAGACCTGAGAGGCTGAGGTGCTGCAGGGTGTGGACTTTCTACATGAAGGATTCTGTTCGGCTATAAACCAAGGAGGGGGTTGAATAGAAAATGGTCACCCTTGAGCTATAAAGTAGAGAATCACTGGCACTCAGGCATTCAAGACCAGCCTGAGCAGCAGCCAGACCCCATCTCTAGTAAAAATAGAAAAATTAGCCCAGTGTTGTGCTGGGCACCTGGTTCAGATCTCCAGCTACTCAGGAGGCTAAGAAAGGCAGGAGGTTTGCTTGAACCCAGGAGGAGTCTGAGGTTGCTGTGAGCTGCAAAGTGAGGCAACAAAGTGAGATTCTTGTCTCAAAAAAAAAAAAAAAAAAAAAAAAGAGAGAGAGAGAGAGAAAAGAAAGAACAGTGGCCCCAGTGGTTGAGGATAAGAGGGAGAAGCATCAGCTGGAAGGAAAGCAGCAAGGAAATGACCCTTTTCCCTCCCGTCTAAGGATGACTGTTACCCACAAATAGGGTGAACAGAGCAAGGGTGCTGTAATTAACTTCCTGTGTATAGTACAGGCCCTAAAATTCCTTCTTCCAAGTAGTAACAGTGGAACCCTTAAACTTATTGGTAATGCATCCTGATTACAGCATGATAGAGTTTGGGAATTGAGGTCACTGGGGAAAGAAGTTACTATCCTTTCTTAAAAGGTCCTTTTGAGTTATGAGAGCAAAAGTTTGACCTAACTATGGGTTTCACTGCACACCTCCAACACAGAAAAACCTACCTCATTCTCTTCAGCAAAAGCAGCAATACACGGAAGCGAATAGACCCTGCAAAACAGCTCACAATTAAAAAAGGAAATTAAATGTGGGCGGGCCTTAAACACACCTACGGGGTCTGCAATAAGAATTTCTAACTTGGGTCTGCTGTAAGGTTGCTTGTACAGGGTAGGCTAGGCGTTTCAAACCTGCAAATGGCGGCCTACTATGGTGGTATATAAGCCACATTTACTATAATTACTATATTTCAACCCAATTACTTGATAAGATTGCCAAAAACTAGAGTGAATTCAGCAAATATTGTCTCATCAAGGACTTAACTGCCCATAAGACGTCTATCTCCAGCTAGCTCAAGTCTGTTGGAAATTGGTCTTCATAAAAATCTATGGATTTTCTAAAGGATGTAATGTTAAAAATATACCACATCATGAATAAAGATACTGAAGACTGATGAAGTTCCAAATACACGGCTTGGTGCCTTAGCTCAAGGGGCTAAGGTACCAGCCACATACACCAGCTGGTGGGTTTGAATCCAGCCCAGGCCTGGATTCAAACAACAATGACAACTACAACCAAACAATAGCTGGGCGTTGTGCCAGGTGCCTATAGTCCCAACTACTTAGGAGGTTGAGGCAAGAGAATCACTTAAGCCTAGAAGCTAGAGGTTGCTGTGAGCTGTGATGCCACAGCACTCTACCCAGGGCAACGTAGTGAGGCTCTGTCTCAAAAAAAAAAAAAAAAAAAAAAGTTCCAAACACACTCATATAAGCCAGCAGGCAGAAAGGGTCTGATCTTTATAGGTTGATGGAACAGCTCTGTAGTTTTCAGTAGATGATATATCTGATAAGTCTCTCCTAAAACGAAACAGATCCTAGACTGCTCTTCTAAAATACTAGACACTCTCAGAACACAACTAGTCAATAAAATAATGCCCAGAGAGAGATAGCTTACCTTCTCTGGTCACCAAGTCTGTTGTTTAGGTGATTGAGAAACCGTCTACTGTCCTTCAAAGGAAATAATGTAAATCCTTTTATTAAAAGAAAAAAATCAAGATGTCTTATTGAATATTACCCCTATCAGTGTGCTTGCTTCTAAATGTGCAGGATGCAGTAACCTAATAAGGATTTGTTGTTATCCGGTAACAATACCCTGTGCCGCAAAGAGGCGGCTCCAGGCACATGATCTAGAATAGGGGTTCTCAACCTATGGGTTATGACCCATAGGAACGGTATTAAAGGGCCGCAGCATTAGGAAGGTTGAGAACCATTGTTCTAGAAGGAACCCCTTTCTCCCAGCCATTAGATTTTCACCAGAGAAATAGGTCTTGAAAAGATTCTAATACATGTATTATCATGTTTTACTGGGTCAGAAGAGTAAATAAAAGAAACACATTTTACCGAGGACCTCCTAGATTATAACGTGACTAACCTGTTGGATATCTACCTCTGTAACACCTGCCTAGCACAAACCAACCACAAACTCATACAATTTACCAACTTTGGGTTTATCCGTGTGTATCATTCATTGCGTTCTCCTTTTCAGGAGCTTCCTATCCCACTCCTCCCTGAGTTCACTCTCCAGGTGTATGTTCTAAGAACAGAGACTATGTTGACAGTTCTCCTATCAGGAAAGTAAATAACTTTGGCCCCCAACATTCTAAAGGCAAAGAAACTCAGATCCAGCTTTTTGTTCTCTTAATTATTGTGATCCAATGGTCGTCTCTTCTCCATGTCTATATTCAGCACTAAGATATATACATCAGCTGGGTAGGCCTTTCACGTAAATGCAATTCAATTGAGAAGTTGATGGCTCTAGGGGAAAATGATTTTGGAAACTAGATAATTACTTTTCTCCTATATTCATTGAATTTCTCTGCAAATGAGGGAATGGCACAGAGGAGAAAAGAAATTAACATGTGAACGAACCCACAACAGCCCAGGCCCTGTCAGTGTCTCTCATTGAGCTTTCATGATTTTGAGGTAGGGTTTGCCCATTTTACAGATGAGGACACTGAGGCTTCACAGGACACCTCCCTGGCCAAAATGCATACATCATACAAGTCGGGAAGGTGGGACTGAAACCTGAGGTAGATTTCAAATCTAAGTATGGACTAGCCGAAAGCTCAGGTCTTTCAATTTACATCATACTGAATTCTGACTAAACAGCTTTTATGTACAATCCGTGGCAGTAGGCTCAGAGTTGGAGATGAGCTAAAGGCTCAGATTTAATACAATCCTGATTACATGGGACTTTTGATCAGAAAGGTGTTGTTAACATGAGTACTGTTAAGAATTTTACCTTTTCCTAGAAGACCCTAACCTTCAGTTTAAGAATGTTTTATTAATATGAGAGGGAAATGTTTTAGCTATTTTAGAATGAAGGTAGATACACAGACAGCCTTGAGATTTTTGGTTGCTACTTGAGGACACAGTCACAGTGAGCCCAGGTCGCAGAGAGAACAGTGAAAAAAACTTAGTTTTTCCGAATGGGAGAGGCTGGCTCAGAACACAACCACCCCATAACACTCCTCTGCCACAGACCATGCCAGGCCAACTCTAGCCTCCAGCCATTAAGGCAGGTGCCCTCTGCCAGGCTAAAATGCTGTCATTTTTTTTCCTCCAACTCTCCCTATTTTCCTTGGCTCATTAAAAACTGCTCACCCCTCCAAGACCGATATCCCCACATTTGGCCCCCAAATATTCTGTTTACATTGCCTTCAAATTGTTTTGCTGAAGTAGAAAACAGGAACTTCAAGATGGCATCTTAATCGCATTTAAGTGAAAAACCCTCCCAAATTCCAGGCACAGGAAGGTACTAAGAGGATGCTTTGCATATATTGGCCAAACAGAAATTCATATAACCAGGGATCTCACCGTATCAAATTCTCGATCCTTAATTTCTTTGAAAGCTTCAGCAATGGCATCATCGTCGAACCACTCATGGACAAGTTCATTTCTTGATTTTTTAATCGCCAGTCTACACAATGCTTCAGAAATAGCCACCTGCTGGTCATAATCTAGAGATTAAAAACAGTAGACAAGGATAATTCTGGGCACAAAGCTAAAAAATAATGAGCTTCAGGGTTAGCACTGCTCTAAGGAGTTCCATCTAAAGAGATTAGCATTGTATCTTATAAGCAGCAAGATGTATCCTAAAGGAATTATATTTTCAATTTGATATTTAATATTAGGAGAAAAAACTAAATGGCAGTTTGGCATATGACAAATTTTTTAAACCAATAATGTTTGTGCAATTTCTATCTTAGAAAATACAAAAGAATATACTTTATATATTTAGAAAAGCCCATTATCAAATAGCCTTAAAAATAATTCTACTACGAAAAGAAAATCCCAAGATGAATTATGGTATTTCACAGCAGAGAAACGAAAACTATGGGTATCAACGTGTTTATGTCTCAAATAATATTAAGGGTAAAAGGGAATTGCAGCCCAGTAGGATGGCATTTATATAATGCTTTTGAAATCTGCAAAATAATAAAGTATGATGCTTATGAATACAGCAAAAGGAGAAAAATAAACTTAAATCTGGGGGAAGGAGAGGAATACAGGATCAGGGACATGGACACAGGGGATTTTATCTATGACTCTGATTTATTTGGGAAAAAAAGTTGAAGTAAATGTAACAAAATGCCAATTTGACAAAGCTTGCTGGTGAGTAAATGAGTATTAACTCATAATTCATTACAATTTTCAGGAAGCTAAATTTCTCCAAATAAACAAAGAATAAAATCCTAATTTCTATTTTAATCAGACCAGAATTTATAAATAAACCACTGTTCCAAGCTGCTCATAAAACCCCCCGTGTCCAAATATTCTAATATTTAAAATTCTAAATCTTCTTACCACCCACAGTCAAGATTGTCCTTGCAAGGTCTCTCCTGAAACATTTAGACAAATTACATTTAACTGAAATTAATGGCAAGAGGTAAAACTTGATTACACTTGCATGAAATTTTAAAACCAAGATATGTATTTTTGAAACTATTTTAGACTCAGCATCAGAATTTCCTCAGTGTCAAATAATACATTTTTATGGAAAAACCTTTTCAAGTTTAAATATCCATAATCCATGTATATTATCTTTTAATAAGTTGGAAGTATTATTACACACTCTGAGGTTCTAATTTCCTTTCTGTGAAGTGAATTCAATTTGATGATCTCTGAGGATTCTTCAAATGCTATGATCCTGCAGCTGTATAGTCACTCACCACCATGAAGGTGTGTGTCCTTTTACACAGTTTGACACCTGGAAGGAATGAGACAGTCGCTCCTGTGATTCTTTCCTTTGAGCTCTTTGATTTGATTTTAGAAATTAATTTAGAGCTGTAATGTGATGTAAGTTATTATACTCTTATAACTAATAAAGACTCCCATAAATTATATATTCATTTAGAATTTCAACTAAATGCTAACAAGTATGATGGCAATTTTTAAAACAATGTCTAAAATAATTCATTTATGAGATGGGGGTCTTACAAAGGCTGGTCTCAAACTTCTGGCCTCAAGCAATCTTCCCACCTCAGCTTCCAAGTAGCTGGGATTGCAGGTATAAGCCACTGTGACCAGCTCAGAGCTCTAATTTTAAAGAACATATACCTGAGGTGGCAGGTTCAAATCCAGCCCAGCCTGCCAAACAATGATGACAACGAAAAAAATAGCCAGGAGATGTGGCAGACGCCTGTAGTCCCAGCTACTTGGGAGGCGGAGGCAGGAGAATCACTTGAGCCCAGGAGTTGGAGGTTGCTGTGAGCTGTGATGTCACAGCTCTCTACCCAGGGCGACAGGTTGAGGCTCTGTCTCAAAAAATAAAGTCTTATGATAGTCTGGGAGGCTGTGGTGGGTGGATAGCTTGAGCGCACAGGTTTGGGACCAGCCTGAGCAAAAGCGAGACCCCATCTCTACTAAAAATAAAAAAACTGAAGCAAGAGAATTGCTTAAGCCCGAGCTGGAGGTTGCTGTGGGCTATGACACCATGGCACTCTACTGAGGGTGATAACTTAAGTCTCTGTCTCAAAAGAAAAAAAAAGTTCCTTATTATAGTTCAGTCTCTCAAAGGTACACTGATTTGTTACTATTAAACAGTACCACCAAGAGTTCTACTTAACTTTCTACTTCCATGTTTTACTATTGACTTAAAGTCCAGAACATTTTAGGCTTTTTCGGACACACAGATAATAAAGTAGTCTAGCCATAGGGTTAGTTCAAAAACTTAGAAAATATCAGGGCAGCTGCTCTCCAAAACTAAATCAGTATTGATTTCACTGATGCATGCAATACATTTTTCTTTAGGAAAAATGATGTGGAAAAACTAAATCCTGCAAAGATTAGTTACCTGGGCAAACATGATGGCAATGAGTTGATGCTCTTCTGGGCCCTACATGCTGGCTGCCACATGGATGAGGCCATGCACTAGGATGATGCTTTCCATGGTGGAAGTGGCTGGCACAGTCACATGTTTAGGTTCAAATTACAAAAAGGTGCATCTTTTGTTGTTTCCATGGTCACACATTGCAATCTAACCTCCAAATTTCATGTCCCAAGAATTACGTAACTGTGACTTTGAGTCACTCAAAGCCAAAACATTCAAAGCAATACAAACTGCATGCCCTCTTGGCATAGCTGATAACTGGTAACCTGGAAGCATTTGCTCTTTACCAGGTAATGTGCTAATCACTTTAAATGGATTGCTTGGTTTGACCTTCACAATAACTCAATCAAGTAAATACTGCCGTTGACTCCATTCTGTAAGTGAGGAAAGCAAACTACCATGAGGTCAAGACTGTGCTTGCAGACAATCAGTATTGACTGGCAAAACCAGGGTGTGAAGCTAAGCAGTGTGGGCCCAGGGTCTGTACTCAACGTTCCTCCAGTTCATATTCACGATGAGAAAATATTCCATAGCCTGAGCAAGCACTTTGCCTCACAAATCTGATGCCAACAAAATACCCCATACCACTTAAAAAATAAAAAAAGAAAGAAAGAAAATATAAGGAGAATCTAGCAAAGTCTGCTTTTTGTCAACTAAAATAAAACCCTAAGCCCTTTGCTTCCCTCTTGGTCAAGGAAGCCACAGAAACACCTTAAAACTGAGTTCCCAGGCGTGGCAGGATGAGGGAGAAAGACCCAATTATCCCTTCATGAATATCCACGACTCCTCCTATAGCTTGCGGAATATGCACGTTTGACCACCCAGCTCTGTCCTCTCTTCTTTCAGCCTGGCTTCCACCAGGCCTCTGCTTCTCAACCTGTTGGAATGGCCACCCAGGAGGTTGCTCCCTTGATAAGAAATAAAGCTCTAAAGCTCTTTCTCTCAAGTATAAACCCTGTTAATTTTTTTTTTAGTTAACACTTCAGTTCCTCTTCACTGTCTAGCATAGTGCCTAATATATACATAGTAGGTGCTCGAAGCATTTACCAAAGGGTGGAAGGAAGTAACCAGATCTAAAGACAAAGATTGTAGTAGTACAATCACAAGAGATTTTACCCTTACTGCATCACATAACTTGTACAAAGTCACTTACATGAGACGACACATGCCTTCTGACAAAAGGAATTTCTTCCTCTCTTCCTGAGGTACACCTTGCAAAATGCTGTTCAAAGTTCTCAAAGCCTTTTTGGAATCGGTGTAGGCATTCATGGAGAAGAAACGAAACAGAGACCTATGCAAAACCTTCTTTAAGATTTCTGGAGCAACTGTAACCGGTTTCGTTATTTGCCACTTACCTCTTGTTGAAGAGGCTGATTTATAGTGGGTTCTGTCACCAGGAATCCTAAGCTGAATAGGAAGGAATCCAGCATCTGAATTTTCCCTGAAAGCATTATTTTAAATGAGAATCAGATTTATGCTAAAAAGGAAATGACGCTTACACAGCAGGAAGAGACAAGACAGAAGGAATCAAGGGAGCAGTAAACAATTAGAAATGATACAGTCTGGACAAGGGATGAACTACAGTCTGCTTCAAGTTTCAGAAACCCTCAGGCCATACCAATTTGCACTACATAGATACCCACTAAGGAGAACAAGGGCGCCCACGCCAAGGTGTGACTACTCCTTCCGATCATCCTATCCTGAGCAAAGCTACAATTTCTTGTCCATACTTAGCCATGTACAAAGCGCAGTTCCTACACACAGTTGCCTGTCCTTTCCCTGTGTTTCCAACATTTGTTCATTTTATGAAATAAAAATTGCATACGAATGGCACTAACAGAATTTTTAATAAAGTGTTGGCCTATATTAAATAACACAACCACAGAAAGTTCAAGAGCTATTTATGTCAGTACATAGTAAAACACATACACACACACACACAGGATAATAGTAATATTTTATCCTTAATAATATGTGATTTCAATGACAATGGTACTGTACAGTATAAAAACTCATGGTAAGGTTGTAACATAAATGATAATCCAAAATTATATATATGAACCTATTTATCACATATTATATACCTTTTTTTTCTTTTGAGACAGAGTGTGACTCTGTTGCCCCAGGCTAGAGCCCCCGTGGCTTATAGCAACCTCAAACTCCTGGGCTCAAACAATCCTCTTGTCTCAGCCTCCTGAGTAGCTGGGACTACAGGCACCCACCACCACACCCTGATATATATATTTTTATTTTTAGTAGAGACAGCATCTCATTCTTGCTCAGGCTGGTCTTGAGCTCCTGACCTCAGCCTCCCAAAGTGCCAGGATTACAGGTGTGAGCCACTGTACCCAGCCACATATATACCTTTAAACCCCTGGATAATTCATGAAATCACAGGAACCCAAACCAGGAAATAGAAACATAAAAGTCCTCTTTCAGACCAAACAAGTCACGCTGACACAGCTGGGTAAGGTCTGGAAACTATCAGACATAGGGCAGGCGGCTGTGCCAATGACTTGCCCACCAGTTGACAACTGAAAAGAAAGGTTCTAACAGAGCCCAGTTGGACTCTAAAGGTATTTGTGCCCCCTGTTGATTATTAATATCAGATGTGAGTCCCTATTCTCATTTTAAGAGTAGTAAGAGAAACTAACAGCAGATGGCCCCATGGAAAAAAGAGAGAAACAAGAGGTAGCAGAAAAGTGACTTTTGAAAAATAATTAAGGAAACTTAAAAATTTAGGAAGCACCTGATTCATCGTCTCAAAACTTAAATTCTATAGAAAAAATTAGATTTGCACTAGAGAAGGCACTAGTCTAAGATGAAAATACACACAAATAAAAAACATGTTTTACGAAAGTCAAACCCATTCTAGGTATTCCAAGCTGAGGAGATTAGTGACAAAGACCACAGAGTAGCTGGGAAGCCAAACCCAGAGCAGGGAGGAAGCCCGAGATCAATACCAGCAGGAAACCACTACACCCCTTTCCCTAACCCCTGGGGACCCAGAGCCTCAGAGAGGAAGTGGAATTACCCGGGCCCAGGCCACCGAGCAAAAGCTCCAACAGAAAATGAGCCAGAGCCACACAGGACTATGCAGCCACTGCCAGAGATGGCAACCAAGAAGGGAGGGGGAGAAAGGGCCAGTTTTCTCTCTCCTACTTCCATTTCCCAGCAGTTTTTCCATCATCTAACCCTTGCCGGCAAAAAACGCCTAGGAAAACTAATACTCGGCAATACGAAGCCGAGAGAGAAAGAGTAGGGAATAGAGCTGAGCGCGGAGACAGACAGCCCCCACCTCCCAGTCTCAAGGACAAAAAGATGCGATCACAGAGTTGTAGACTACAGTAGAACCGATGACAGCAGAATTAGCTAAGGTAAGGATTTCCAGGAAAAACTTGAGAACAGCTTTCATAATACAGAGAGGGGAAATGAGCAAGAAAAGATGCATGTAAAGACAAAATCAAAGATGAAGAATAGATAATCTTACACAGAGAGAACAGAAAGTAACGGCAATGGACTTCTTGGTGGCCTCCCCCACATGCTTTCTCCCTTCCCCTGGTATGGAGCAGTCAGGGCTCCCTGTGAGCAGGACAAAAGGGCTCCAGAGGCGAATCCTGATTGGTTTAAACTATAAAGGAAACATCTCATTCATCTTTTCACAGTGATTGGTTAATTTGGGGGTATCCAATCAGAACAAAGATAGGGCCTTTGTATGCTAGTTGAGAAAGTGAAACTGTCTTCCCCCAGATCTGATAGGAAGCGGAAGCTCTGGATGCAGACAGCCACCTTAAACCACCAAGGGAAACCAAGCTGAGAGCAAAGACTAGACTCTGATGAAGGCAAAACTGAAAAGAACTGCAGAGAAATGGAGTGGGGCCACTGCTCCAAACTGTGTCTCTGGATGTTTAAGTTCCTTCAACCAATAAGTTACCTTTATTCTTTAAGCCTATTTGAATTAGACATTCTGTTACATACACCAAAAACACTCTACCTCAGAGGTTTTCACCTCATTTGAAAACTAGAGGTGATTCCTTCCCTACCCAGGGGACACTTAGCAATGTCGGAAGATGTTTTTGCTGTCATTGACTCAGAGGTGGGATGCTATTGCCTTCTAGAGAGTAGAGGATGGAGATGACTCCAAACGTCCTACTATGCCCCAGACAGCACCCACAACAAAGAATTACCCAGCTCAAAACATCAATATTGCTGAAGCTGATAAAACTCATTATCAAAGAATAAATTGCCCTGAGCTAAAGATTTAGTTTCAAAATAACTCAGAACCATGTAAAACAAATGTGTGTGTGCATGCATGTGTGCACGTGCATGTGTGTGTGTGTGTGTCTGCTCATAATCCTTAATAGCAGAACACAATGAAATGATTGTAAGGGGAACAGCATGCAAAGCAATAGTGTATAAAACCTAGAAACTTATCCCCAAATGATTAAGTGCAGTGACCACATCCCACCCCCCACCCTAATAATGCTCTGCAAAATGTGTTATAGCAGATGGAGACAAAGCAGAACAAAGAACTCAAGAATGGGAATGTCATGCTACAAAAGAGTTTAGGAGAAACATGGGTGGCTCACGCCTGGAATCCTAGCACTCTGAGAGACCGAGGCTGGCAGATTGCCTGAGCTCAGGCATTGGAGACCAGCCTGGGCCAGACTGAGATCCTGGCTCTAAAAATAGCCAGGCGTTGTGGCGGGCCCTGAGGCAAGAAGATCTCTGAAGCCCAAGAGTTTGAGGTTGCTGTAAGCTACAACAACATGGCACTCTACCAAGTTTGGCAAAGTGAGACAGTTCAAAAGAAAAAGACCTAAATAACTGTGGTAAATATTGTAACACAAGACAAAGAGCAAATAATATTTACAAAGATACATAATATGGGCCTCAGACTGGGTACAAGGTGATGGAGAAAAACATAAAGAAAAACGAAGACTTTACCTCCTTCATGTTTACATGGATGGAACTGGAAAATGTTCTTAGCAAAGTATCACAGGAATGGAAGAAAAAGTATCCAATGTACACAGCCCTTTTATGAAACTAATTTATAGCTCTCAAATGAAAGATACAACTTAATTCTAGCCCAAGAATATGGGGAAGGGGTGGGGAAGGGGAGGAGGGAAGGGTGGCTGGGTGGTGGGAGGGTGACCAGAAAGATCACCTATATATCTGTCTAACAAGGGTACAAGTGAACTTTTCTAGAACTAGAATATAAATGTTTTGACACGATGACTAAGCAAATGACATGAAATCTATGTTAACCAGCTTGATGAAAGTACTTCAAATTGTATATGAAAACACTACACTGTACCCCATGTTTGCATTAATGTATACAGCTATCATTTAATAAAAAAATAAACAAAAGAAATAAAAACATGTTAAATAAGTAACCATCATTTTGATATTTATAATTAAATTAACAGTATCAGTAGAAGTAGGATGTAAGCCCTTCAAACCACAAGAGAAGGGCACACCGGGAAAGAAAACCTGATCCATGCAGCAAAACACAAAGCAATCATAAAAATGGAACATGCAATAAGATGACAAGACTCTGAGTAAAAGGAGAGGAGTAATCATGTCAATGATAGAATTACGTAGGAAGAAGGTCAGTGACATCTTCCTCCTTCAGAAGAGAGGGAGTAGACATCAGCTCTGTAGAGTCCCAGCATAAACCAATGTAAGAGGACTGTCAAAGGCTACATGTGAAAACCTGTCACTTGCAGAGAGGCCCGCTCTCTTGAGGGTGGCCGGAGTGGGGTCCAAACACAAGCTTTTATTGCTATGAACTGGACTGTGTCCCCCTCAGAATTCAGATTTTGGAGTCTTAACCTCCAAGTGATGGTATTTCAGACGGGGACTTTGGGAGCTAATGAGGTTGAGAGGAGGTCACAATGGCAGGGTCCTTATAACAGGATTAGCACCCTCAAGAAGAGATCCCAGAGAGCTTGCTGGCTTCCTCTCTACCATGTAAGGACACAGCAAGAAGCCAGGGAGAGAACATCACCAGAGCACGACCATGCTCACACCCTAATCTCAGACTTTCCAGCCCTTAGCCCAGTGGTTCTCAACCTTCCTAAGGCCAAGACCCTTTAACACAGCTCCCCATGTTGTGGCGACTCCCAACCATAAAATTATTTTTGTTGCTACTTCCAATGAAATGACGGTTTGAAATGACAAAGTGGCTTCCCTGGGACCTGAGTTAAGTGACCAGATGGTGTCCTTGCAGCTAAGTTAAAATGTACATCAGGCAAACTGAGACATTCTTTACAACATCACAATCGACTTACCACAGGGAGGGGGTCACCAAATCCCAATATAATATTTAAACCTGCTTTATTTTTACATCATTTAAATATTTTCTCTGTACCAGAATATTCTACGAGTGAAAAACTGATAACCAGGAAAATACTTACCTTTACTACTATTCCTGGAAATCACCTAATAACAAGAAAGAAAAAGTGAAGCTCGTATTATTTTAAAATAGAACTATAAACTATAACATGAATGCATTAATGCTAATATTCTCTAACAAGTAGGGGTTGGCTTTAAATACAGAAAGAATTTTAGAGAAAGCCTATTTGAGTGTCAGTGACTTAATTAAGGTGAATATATTTGTTTGTACAAAAATAAATCACCTCTCATTTTTCCATAACAAATAGCATCTCATTTTTCCATAACATCAGTTATAGACATTAATATGTCACATAATATTCTAATAGTAAGATATGGGAGTCTTTTAACAAAACATCTTCTAGAAAACCACGTCTCGTAAATAACTTGAAGATTCCTGCCAATTACCAACGGCATTTGCTTAGGGAAGCACCTACTCCCCCATCCTTACCAGTGCAGTGTCAAAGAAGTCTTCCATGACACTCATCAGCGATGTGTCTGCGTCTAGTTCTTCCAAGATCAGAAAGTCTAACATTCTTTCAAACCAGGAAACTATGTACACGGGAAAAGAAACACAGATGGAATGATGTAAGACTAAGGCTGCCTATTTCGTAAAATTCCTCAAGATAATTTTGTCATTAGAGCAAAATACGCTCAAAGACTTTCTCCCATTCTGTAACATTTCAACAGGGCTGGCGGTGCCGGCTCCCGTTCATCACCCTTCAGGATGACACCCCACTGCTACAGAGTTGTACTATGTAATAAGTCCTCCAAGACCACCATAAAAAAATGGAGACTCAGCCAAGATCAATGCCAGAAAGCCACAGGAAAGTTTAAAATATAAATGAACCTCTCCAACATAGGGGGATATCTTGCAATCGAAGAAGATGCAGAATTTGGAAAATGGCCCAGAAGTATTCACGGTTATAGTAAATATGCCTTAGGCCTGCCTTTCTTTCTTTTGCCAAAGCCTCCAGCTAATTGGAGATATTTTTCCCTCCGTGGGAATACACATCAAATTTCGTATTAACTTACTACAGTTGGTATGATTTAAAATAAACTTGTGTAACTCTCCCTAGAATATACAGTATCTATTCAGAAAGTAAAAGCCATCTTTGAAGCATTTTTGCTAAGACTGGTCACTTTTACAAAAAAAAAAAAGAAAAAAAATCCTGCATGCATGGTCAGAAATCATCAGTTGGACATGAAGTTAGGAACATAAGTTTATGAGAAACAACTGTTACAGGAGCAGAGCCTCCCAAAACTTTGTATACTTTGAAGCCAAGAGCCCAAGGCACTCCTGCTGAAGACAAACTAGTAAGTTTGCAAGCTTGGCCTGGGGAGCTCTGAAAACCACCTGCTGAAGTTTAGGATCCATCTCAAGACCCAATTAATCAGAATCACCCAAGGGATGTTTGTTAAAGCTCTCCAGGTGAGTGTAATGTACAACAAGGTCTGAGGACCACTATACTATAAGCCAAGTAAGGGTTCCTGTACCTCAAATCAGGCAAATACTTGTACTAGACTGAACCATCCACTGTCTGAAACACTTTTCTCTGACAGCACAAGGAAAGAAATGTCCCCCTCTAAAGCGGAACTCATGGATCAGGCTATTTTCTTCCTCCCTATATCCATGCTCTAAATTTCATGCCCTTAAAGTGTGTTTTTGTTACCATTCCATCTGTTCCCTGAAGTTTATCTCCCTCTCAGCACCCCTAATGAATTAGTTGGGTATATCCACATACTTGGGAATAGAAGTGCTCACTGAACATACTGCTGTGCCATGAGCATACGCTGTCTAACAGACACCCCAGCTGTCCCCATAGCTGTGTCATTATCAGAGGCCGGACACAGTAGCAACAACTTATTAGGGATATGGTACAGGGCAAGTTGCTTAATCCTCCTGGATTTTACAGAACAGAACTAAACCCATTCCTTTCTGCAGGAAATTCTCCTTCTATGGAGAATTGAAAGAACTTCCAAGCACACTCCATAATGAGTTTGCAAGCACAATTGTCTTCAGAAGCACAAAGTCTAACATCCCAGTATCTCTGATAACTTCAACCTCCTCTCCAGGCCAAAACCTATGTGAAATAACAGCACCTCAATGATGCTTATGAAATTTTTATCACCAACTAGAATTCCAGTGGAATATAGAAAATCCTATTTGATTTCAAAACTCCAGTAGAGATAGGATCTGACACTTTCATACCTTGAGAGGGCATTCTTAAACCTAATTTTAAAAATTGGGGCAGGTTGGACCATATTCCAACACATACTCCCCCCCAAAGCAGTTTACATTTCCAAGGTACCCTTGGGTCATCCCTGCTCTGTTCCCTTTGGGGTTTTATCTCTGCTTCTTGGCTTCCTATTATCCATATGATAGTGTAGCTAGAGTATCAGGAAGTCAAGTGCATTAAATGCAAAATGAAATCCATACAGTTCACATAAGCAGAGTTTTTAAAATGCCCTGCAAACACTTTTAAAGCCCCAGAGAGGAGTCTGAGAAAGCCTGGAGTTAATAATTTCTCCTCTAAGGGGAAGCTTCCTAATTTAGAGGCATTTGAGACTAAGAAGGGGCAGAGATAGACCTTCTTAGCCCAAGCTCCCCCAAATAAACTTTAGAAACTAGAGCCTAAAGAGTAACCAAAGACCTTATCACCAGCCAGATCATTTTTTCCCCCATCTCCTTACCAAAAAACAGATCATCTCAATGCTTAATAACCTCCCCATGAAAAGAGGGGAACTGCAGTAAGAGATGTGGCCAACAGCTGCTCTACCCCAGATGAGATTATAAAGGCACATGTACTCATACCTCCAGGTTCATTTTGCAAAACTGGGGTGACTCTGAATAAGCAAAAAATTTTTGCTATTCATTGTTTTGGATTCAGCCAAATGAATCTTTTCTACTTCTACAAAGTAGAAAAAGTGAGATGTTACAAAGGCAAAGGGAAGTGTTTGATTCACTTTTATAGGTCTACTCTAGTTAACAAAGTCTATTAAAATAGAACCTATTCTCTACTCATCTTCCCCAAATTCACTAAAATAATGAAAAATAGGCTATTACTGCACAGACGCGGTTGCATCTGCCATCCCCTACACTACTCACGTGCTCTGTCCAGCATGTATAATACAGCTGAAAACATGCTGAATTTTTGATTGGATATAGGCAATAAGAATGGATATCAATTTCTTTTCAAATTGGGTTTCAGAGGAATAGAAAACACTAGGCAACTAAATCCATGCTAGTTCTTTAAGTTATCCCAAACTATATAAAATTAAAATATGACACTTATCTTTCGGATCAGCCCCTGCTGAATTAACAAAGGCTCGTCTTGTTGGGGGTCATCTATGAAGAATCGCTGAATACATTTCAGCAATAGTGAAACATACTGAAATTCATTTTTATCCAGTTCCTAGGTATTAGACCACACTCAATTAAAAACCTTATAAGTAATTATACATTTGAATCTTGGTCACAAAACAAACCAACCTACTTGCCTTATTTATTGATCTGTTAAGATGACGTAACAGAAGATGATTGTATTTTTGAGGAGAGTGGCTCTCTTTCTGTTGAAAATATTCTTTCATTTTCTGAAATTGTTTATCATCGACTGCATCAGTAATAAGTGATTGAAGCTGAAAAGGTGATAGTTTGCAAATTACTTTTTCCCCAAGAATATTTACAGTAATATTTCTAATAATATTGTTATCGATACATAGTAATTCAGTGTAAAATAATACAGGGTAAATATAAAATAGAGGTCTCTACTGTGGACAACAATCATTTAACAAATGAAAGTCTGTTGTGAGCTAAGACAAGAGTTCTCAGGTGTGGTTTTAGACATCAGCAGCATTGGTGTCACCCGGGGACTTGTTAGACTGCAGAGACTGTAGGGTGAAGCACTTCAGGTGATTCTGATCCACATTAAAGTGTGAGAGCCATGGACTAAGGAACATTGCACTTGAATTATGGCTATCAATATGTGAAAAGCCTTATTAATGTTGGAGATTCTGAAACACTAAAGAATGAAAGCTCAAGATCACTCATTATGTGTCATAAAGGACAGAATAGTATGAAGAAAAACTAATAATTACAGATAATGGAAGTTGATAAACATGCAAATTGACTGTAATAAATGAAATTAGTCTTTTTGCCTAAACATTAGCCAAGATATACTTCTAAAATAGAAGTATATGTTATACTTGAATAACATGTTTTCTTAATTATCTATAAAAGGCAGGATTTTGAACCTTAGAGAGCTGAGTGGAAAAAAAAAAAAAGAAAAAGGAACAGTTTTTTTAGTCTTTGAGAAATGCAATCCAATCATGCTGGCTAAATTACAATACCCAATACCATTTTAATAAGGAGCCATTTCTCTGTATACAGCTCAAAAATTCCACTTATTCTTTGTCCTGATTTAAATGGGGAAGCAGCATTTCAAATGACTCTATTTAAAAAGAATGTTTCCTTTCTAAAGTTATCACAGAGTGAGCCTCTTTGTGCCAAGTGTGTGAAGTTTTCTGCAGATGTTCCTTTTTAGTCCTCACCACCACCCTGAGAGGTCATGCTCTCTCTGGGGATAGTAACAGCAAGGATGCGAAAGGTTACAAATTCACGTGAGATCACTCAGAAGGGATTCACACTCAGCTTCTCTTCTGCTTAAAACTTCACCCTAACTTCCCCCATGCACAGAATTAATCCAAACCTTTTGCTTTAGTCTGCAGGGCTCTGCATGCTCTGATCTGTCAATGTTTTCTGACTTCCCTAATGAGTCCTAGAATAAGTCAAGCTCTTCATCACCCCAGGGCCTTTGCACTGGCTGTTCTAGGCCTAGACTGCATCACCACTTCCACTTGCCTGGCTCCCCTTAAATCTAAGCTTGAGTACCACCTTTTCAGGTTGGCCTCCCAGGACCATCTTATCTAGAGTAGATCAAGTGCCTCCATGCACCCTCAATTATTTTCCCTCACCATGTTCTTTTTCCCCCACTACTGTTTAGTGACCCATTTTGTTGGCTCTCTGCCAGCATGTAAGCTCCATTAGGGCAGGAATTATGTGTTTTGTTCATTACCATGACCCACCTCTAGTGCTAGACACAGGATAGCTTAGAGTAGGATACTGGTAAGGTAGAGGAAAGGGGTCACCCTAAATAACAGAGGCTCTCTAAAAGAAAATGGTTATCTGGGAATAGAACACTGAAATGGAGATACATATGCCATAACGTAAACTATGTGTACGTGAAGGAGGTAAAGGCAGACAAAAGTTTTTAAAGGAGAAAATTAGGATAATTGTTTTGAAATAATTATCTTTGCCTACAAAGATTAATAATAAGGATGATGCCAATCTGGGGAGAAGTTGGAAGGGCAGATGTCCTTGGAAAAGAATTTTATGTGCAAGGTTGAGGTTTTTATAGTCCTTTTTTGTTACTAGGTATGAGAACCCTCTTTTCACGGCTTTCCTGGTTCTATGTGCCAAGGTTTTCTTAACATTAGTGACTTTATTTTGATTTTGATGACTTCAGCTTTAACAAAGGTAAAACTGACTAGATATGGTGATAAATTAGATGTGGAGATTAGAGAAGGAGTAAACACAAATATTTCTGTGCTTCTGGTTTAGGCAACAGAAGAACAATTTCGCTAATGGCCCTGGGATACAGAAGTAGAAAGAACAAACCTGCACAAAGACTACCAAATAAATGTGATCTTTACCCAGAAAGCATCCTGGGCCTTTCCAATCTCATCATCTTCCTTAGCAGACTGCAAAGGATCTTGATTTTCCTGTGTGCAATAAAAGATTTAAAAGAATTTCAAAGATAGGCATTTTGAATTGTAAAGATAAAAGTTTATATTGTTTTCCTGAATAGAAACTTCAGGTTGCTCATCTAAAAGGTCTAAGTAAGACAGTTACCTTTAAAAAAACTTTATCCAACATCCTTTAGCACGGTCTATGATATTACAATAAAAATGATTATCAGAAGGAGCAAATACCATTTGAAAAAAATGATCATACAAAATAAAGAAATGAAAACTCTGTAATGAGGACATAAAATAGAAGAAAAACTTGAATTAATAAACCACTTCACAGGGGTGGCACCTGTGGCTCAGTGGGTAGGGCACCAGCCCCATATACCGAGGGTGGCAGGTTCAAACCCAGCCCCTGCCAAACTGCAACAACAATAAAATAGCCAGGTGTTGTGACAGGTACCTGTAGTCCCAGCTACTCGGGAAGCTGAGGCAAGAGAATTGTTTAAGCCCAGGAATCAGAGGTTGCTGCGAGCTGTGACACCACAGCACTCTACTGAGGGTGACAAAGTGAGACTTTGTCTCTAAAAATAAATAAATTAATTAAATAAACCACTTCAGAATGAGAATTTATGAAGTTAAATAAAAAATGTTTTTTGGCTAGGCACCCGAACTCAAAACCAGCCCGAGCCTGCTAAAACAACAACAACAAAAAAGATAGCTGGTGTTGTGGTGGATGTATGATAATCCCAGCTACTAAGGGAGACTCCTGTGAGCCCAAAAGCTTGACTTTGCTATGAACCATGACACCATGGCACTCTACCAAGGTCAACAAACTGAGACTTTATCTCAATTTAAAAAAAAAAAAAAAAAGTGTTTTTCAGCCAGACATAATGGCTCATACCTATAATCCTAGTAGTATGGGAGACCAAGGCAGGTGGCTTGCTTGAGCTCAGGAGTTCCAGACCAGCCTGAGCAAGAGCAAGACTCTGTCTCTAAAAAAAAGCAAGGCATTGTGGCCGGCACCTATGGTCCCAGCTACTTGGGAGGCATAGTCAAGAGAATCACTTGAGCCCAAGAGTTTGAGGTTGCTGTGAGCTATGACCCCACCAAGGGTGACAAAGGAAGCTTGTCTCAAAAAAAAAGTGTTTGGAGGCACACTACCTGAATGCAAAATATACTACAAAGCTATAATAACCAAAGTAGTATTGTATTGGCATAAAAAGACACATAAACCAATGGAACAGAGTAGAGACCACGGAAATAAATCCATGTGTTTACAGCCAACTGATTTCAACAGAGGTGCCTAGAACATTCAGTGGTGCTGGGAAAACTGGATATCTATGCATAAGAATGAAACGAGCTCTCCATCCTATCTCTCACTACATACAAAAACCAACTCAAATTAGACTAAAGACTTAAATGTATGACCCCCGAACTATGAAACCACTTCAAACAAACAAACAAAACCATAGAGAAAATGCTTCAAGTCTGGGGCAGGCTTCTGGGCAGAGATTTTTATGGAGAAAATCTCAAAAGCAGAGGCAACAAATAAACATACAAATGGAAATATATCAAATTAAAAAGCTTTGCCACAGCGAAGGAAACAACTGGGCAAAGAAGACAATGGCTGGGCCCAGAGGCAGGAGCGACATCCTCAGCCTTAGTAGTTTGAGATTACAGAGAGCCATGATTTCACCACTGGACTCGAGCCTGAGTGACAGAGACCTTGTCTTAAATATAACTCAATGGCAAAAACCAAACAATTCAATTAAAAAATGGGCAAATGGGCTTGGTGCCTGTAGCTCAAGCAGCTAGGGCACCAAACACATACACAGGAGCTGGCAGGTTTGAATCTAGCCTGGGCACGCCAAACAACAATGACAACTACAACCAAAAAATAGCCGAGTGTTGTGGCAGGCGCCTGTAGTCCCAGCTACTAGGGAGGCTGAGGCAAGAGAATTGCTTAAGCCCAAGAGTTGGAGGTTGCTATAAGCTGTGATGCGACAGCACTCTACCCAGGGTGACAGCTTGAGACTCCTTCTCAAAAAAAAAAATTAAAAATTAAAAATTAAAATTGACAAATAAACTAAATAGACATCTTTCAAAAGAAGACATACAAGTGACCACTAGGTATATGAAAAAATGCTCAATATCACTATCATCAGGGAAATGCAAATCAAAACCATAATGACATTATCTCATCCCAGTTAGGAAGACTATTATCTAAAATACAAAACATAAATCCTGGTGAGGATGTGAAAAAACAGCAACTCTCACACAGTGTTAGTGAGAATGTAAATTAATACATCCATTATGGAAATCAGTATGGAGGTTCTTCAAAGTATTAACAATAGAACTATTAGGCAGCACCTGTGGCTCCTATACCGAGGGTGGTGGGTTCACCTCGGCCAAACTGCAACAAAAAAATACCCAGGCATTGTAGCGGGTGCCTGTAGTCCCAGCTATTCGGGGAGGCTGAAGCAAGAGAATAGCCTAAGCCCAGGAATTGGAGGTTGCTATGCACTGTGACGCCATGGCACACTACTGAGGGCGACAAAGTGAGACTCGTCTCTTTAAAAAAAAAAAAAAAAGAATTTTTAAATTTTGTTAAGTTCTGAATTATTGGGAAATACTTTCTATCCTTGCCTAAGAAAATATTCTCCAGAGCCCTTATGCTAATCGTCTTTCCCCGTTTTCTCTATAGGCACTGCCCTATCTCCCCTTCAGTTCAATTCCTATGCAGGAAAATCAGAAAATGGGATAGTTTGAGCAGAGAAAAAAAATCATTAGACTATCTAAGACTCAATTTCCTCATTTTAAAAATATTATTATAACACCTCCATGCAGGGACTGGAGTGAGGATTGACTGAAATGTTTGTAATTTTCTTAGCATTGTTCTTGGTACATAAGGGCTCAGTGAAAGGTGGTTGTCAACATTAAGAGGAATGGTCAGGAGAATATGCTTAAGTCCCCTGCACTTATCTTAATGTTAAAATGGTTTGTGTCCCAAATCTGCCTCCCCATGACTGTCCAGTCAGGACTCTAGCCATGAACTGAGAAGGGGAAATGAAGGCAGCTGACAGATGATTTTATAAAGAACAAAAGAGTTCCTAGACTGAGTATTACAATCATCTAGCCCTAACCAACAAACAACAAACTAGGACCCCAGCACAGACCAATTAAATCAGAATCTCTCCAGTAAGAACCTAAGCAGTAGCGTATTTGTTTTGAGACAGAGTCTCACTTTGTCACCCTTGGCAGAGTGCTGTGGCATCACGACTCACTCAAACTCTTGGGCTCAAGTGATCCTTGTCCCTCAGCCAGCCTCCTAAGTAGCTGGGACTACAGGCCACCAACCACAACCCCCGGCTATTTTTAGAGGTGGGGTCTCACTCTGGCTCAGGTTGGTCTCCAACTCCTGAGCTCAGGTAATCCACACACCTGGGCCTACCAGAGTGCTAGGATTACAGGTGTGAGCCATTGTGCCTGGCCCAGTTGAGTATTTTAAACAGGCTCCTGGTGTGTGTTTGTTTTTTTCTTTCTTTTTTTTTTTTTTTTTTGGCATCCTTGGGTGAGCTCAAATCCCAAGTTATTAATGAACAGCTGTTTTGAGAAACCCTGATTAGGCACTCAAATTAAAGGAGTAGGTTCACAGGTATTTTCAATATTGTGCACTAAATTAAACAAAAAAAATCTATTAAACAATAGAAAGAAATCAGATAAGTATATAGAAATGACTCTGATTCAAAATTGAAATTTTTAGAATCCAAACATTTCCAAGAGCAATTATTTAAGGATAACTATTCTTTTTAAAAAAAAATCCTTAGGGCGGCACCTGTGGCTCAGTGAGTAGGGCACCAGCCCCACATACTGAGGCTGATGGGTTCAAACCCAGCCCCAGCCAAACTGCAACAACAACAAAAATAATAGCTGGGCGTGTGGCAGGCGCCTATAGTCCCAGCTGCTTGGCAGGCTGAGGCAAGAGAATCGCTGTGGTTGCTGTAAGCTGTGATGCCACAGCACTCTACCGAGGGTGAAAAAGTAAGACTCTTAGTCTCAAAAAAAAAAAAAAAATCCTTAGTATTTACCCTGGAAGCAAGGAAGCAACACTTAGTTTTGGATTTGGGGTAGGTATTTAGAAGCAGCTATCAGTATTTAGAACATTTTTAGAAAAATGAAAAGGCTGGTCAGAATGTATATTTGCCCTAGGTACATAGCTGTCACGTTAAATGGAAAAAGGGGAAATTTAAATATATACCTATGATCATAAATATGTTAAAATGAACATCGAATAAGTATATAATTAAATTTTTTAATAAAAATCCTCATAATACCAAATTATATACTGTATGAAGATGACTCATATTTTGAAAACACGGATAGTGCTTATAGAAAAACCCTTAAGGGAAACTGTGAAAAAGCTAAGTGATTATCCTTTAGGGGTTGGAAAGAGGAGGACTTTTTAAACTCTCATATCTATGTTTTTAATAATGCTTTACTTTTCTATTGAAAAAACATTAAACACTCAGAAAAAAACGCAAGAAGGAAATACAACAAAATATAATCAGAGGCTGATTTGCAGAAAACTGTTTTCCTCTTTTAGTTATTTCTCCTGTTTGTTGAATGTTTTCTCCTATAATAAGCATATATTTCTTGCTATAATTGAAATCAAATAAGCCTTATTTTTAAGAAAAGTATCTTAAGCAAAGTCACGAATTTAAGCTTTATATTTGTGACACATAAATTTGTTACCCTAGGACTTCTACATTAAAATTTCAAGGATCAAACGTCAACAACCACAGAAGTGTCCAAAACATTTAGTAGTGGATTTTACACCCCACACGTGACCCCTGGCCCACCACACTGGTTTTACAACACGTCACGCTGCACTAAACAACATCTCCTCACTTCACTCCAACTAATTCAATTAAGAAGTATAAAACACAAAATATACGTTTTAAATCTAGTTTGGGCTAATCGACCTATGTAAACTTGACCAAAATCCTTAAATGTCGGTGTAATTTACAATATTAACGTCATTATTTATAAATATGAAAAATAGGGTGAACTCAAAGACACAAATCCAGATTTTTTCCCCCCAGCAGAGTATTCAATGAGTTCCAGTTAAATGAATGCTGAAGTATGAGAGTTTGGCGGATCCAGGGCCCTCCCCCCACCCCCAGCTGTTTTAGAGATTGCTACTTTTCGCGCGGTTAACTGAAGTCCCAGCACTTGGGACGGCTTAACGCACTGCGAAGGCTAAAGAAACCTGGAGAACCGCCTGGGAAAATATCCAGAAAACTTGCATAAAACGATATCTTTACTTTCCAATCAAGAATTCTCCAGTTCTCCCTTCTCTGAAGGCTCTATTAACGAGAACCACAGACTTTCCATCCTGCCTTGCTCATCTGATTGAAAGCTGCTAATATATTCTGAGCAAGCCTAAGAAGTTTGAAGCGCGCAAAGGCCCCTATTCCCCGCTCTGGGTCTCTGAGCTACCACCTCGAGGGGTCAAAGCCTGATCCCGAGTGACCTGGCACCCTCGCACGCCCTGGGACCTGGAAAGGAGGCCGGGCTCAACAGGGGTCACTCGCCTTCTGCATCCCGAGGCTCCCGGCCAGATCCTGGGCCCCCGGGCCCCAGGGCGCGCCGCTCGGCTGAGCCGCGGTGGTCCCTCTGAGGTCCCCGCTTCTGGAGACCCTGGCCAGCTGAGAGAGCTGCGGAGAAAGCCCCACTCGCCCACAGGTTTCCCTTTCAAACCTTCTCCAGGCGTGTAATTGACAGACCCGCCCCTGAAATCTGCCTGCACCACGTGGGGAGAGACTGGGGGGGCGGGGAGCTGGTAAAGCTCGCAGGCGGGTCTGGCCACCTGGGCGCACGCACCCTCACCTTAAGAGAAAGCCCTACTCAAAGAAAGCGAATAACGTCGCTTAAGCGTTCTTTATGTGCCAGTTCCAACTGTTAGGCATCCTCTTTGCGGAAATGCCAGAGGAGCTGTTTTCGGTCCTTTGAAGCTAAACTCTTTCCCTTGGGAACCAGACTTGTATCCGATATGAACACATTCCTGATATCACAAAAGATGTTTTATTTGTACCTGGGGTGAAGGAATAAAAAAGAAAAAGGCAAACAGGGCAGATTCCTTATTTTCTGTCGACTTCTTTTAACTTGACAAATATGTGCATCAATGGCTGGGCCGATTCGGGTAGGTAGGTACGTGAATCTGAACACGGTGGCAAAAATAAGTTGGGCTGGAGTTTCTTCAAAAACAAACATGACCCCTCCAATTTAAGCATTCCTTCTGCAAAAAATCGAACTGTATTATGACTAGACTTGTGAGTGTTTTATGGCGTGATGTGTGCAGAAAATATTTGTCTACATAAAAGCAAAACATAATAAGAATCCCTGTTAGGGTGGCGCCTGTGGTTCTAAGGAGTAGGGCGCTGGCGCCATATGCCGGACATGGCGGGTTCAAACCCAGCCCCGGCCAAAAACTGAAAAAAAGAAGAAAAGAAAAAAAAAAAAAAAAAAGAATCCCTTTTCCCTGTTAGCCCAGGACTTGCATGCATCTCCAGTCCATTCAGACCAGTATTTATGTTCTGAGACATACATCATGAAGAAAAACAAAACATTATTTATGTCAGAACTCATCCTATCTGTTTTCTGGCAAATACAAAGGCTTCTTTCCTTTTGAATTAATGTACTATTCAATATTAAATTACTAATCAAGGCAGAGACCACTGTGAAGTTAAAGTGTTATGATTCAAGGCAAGTATTAGTATTTTTTTTCCAGGAAAAAAAAAAATCAAAGGATAATAAAAACAGTAACTGAAATACTACAGTTTGAACGCATTTATTTAAAGGAATATTTAAAAAGTAAAATTTTCTTAACATTAGATAGAAAATGTCATAATCAGGCTTTTGGAGAAAAATCCATCCTTCCAAACTCAGTAGTGGCCATGCATTCAAATCTTCAGGAAAACATAAAAACAACACAATAGGCAATACCATTTATTTGCTTATTTACTTGATTTTCACTTTGATTGCCTTCTTTCACGAACAGGTTTTACTCAGACATAATTTCAGGGCAATGTGAAATATATATTCTAATTCTTCTAAAATTAAATATGGCGGAGGCTCCATGACATTTCTTTGGATGGCATTAACTTTTAAATGTTAAACTGTTAAATGCCATTAACTTTTAAATTCCACTTAGGAATTAATTGATTTGCCTTTAACATTAAAAAGTTATATTTATTTATATTTTTGAAGAGTTGGATCTCCCTAGGAACATTCCAAAAGCTAGAGACAAGAACTATTCTAATAACGTTGCAGTAAGGCTATACATTAGTTTCTAGGCACTCTCTGATGTAACTTTATATGACAATTTTGAAGTTATTTTTAGAACATTTGAAGAGATAAATTATCTTAATCCCTTTGAATGAAATATCGATTTATTTTTAAATGAACGGTCGATAGATTTTCATTTCATTTTCGAAGACAAAACGACACAGAAAGCACCTGAATGACAGGAGTTCCCGGGACCTTTGGCGGTCAGGTACTAAAATGAAAATCTGTGACTGAAACTGATGGGTGAAGAGTAGGCACATCTCTCCGTTTCCACCTAGATCTCAATGGGGATCATTTGAGAGTGATTTTAATCAGAAACCCCGACGATGGGACCTTTTCAGAGAAGAGAACCGGGGTAGGGATGGGGGATGGGGCGGAGAGAAGCTGGAAATGAACGAATTCCATTGCTAGGACATTTTGCCTTTGCTTGGGAGAAAAAATCCCAAAGCTTGGGTGAAAGTTAGAGGAGGAAGAAAATGCGAGTAACTACGCAAATCCTGCATTTCTCCCTGAGTTCTCTGGTCCACTGCAACAGGCGGGTTGCTCTGAAACGTACTTCGCTGTTTGATCGACTTTTCCAAGCAAGCCCGACTGTGCCTTTGACTGAGGCAGTAAAAGGACGTGGACGATCCTTTCATGCTTGCAGGCTGTGGGCTTAAAAACTCTCTCTCTCTCTCTCTCTCTCTCTCTCTCTCTCTCTCTCTTTCTCCCCACCTCCTGTCAACGGAAAGGACTAATTCTGCAGGAGGCGTGGGCCTGGGTGGCCTCCCAGGTGGGCCCCGCGCCTCACTAGCACGCGCTCCGCGGTACCAAGATCCAGGGCGGCGTGTTTGGATATGCGTTAATATCAGATTCTCGTTCTCCAGGTGCTACGCTTCTAGGAGTCGGCTCCTCTTCTGCGGCTGGGGCTGAGAATGGAAGCGTGCGGGCTGCAATCAAGGGCGCAGAGAATGAATTCCAGAAGCCCATCTTCTCTGACCCATCTTCTCTCATTCGGTGGTCAAAAAGCAACTTAAGTCATTTGAATACATTTCTTTTATTGGGTGTCTACAGGTGCGGGTGTGGCCTTGGGTGAGGCGGGTGCTCAAGTAAAGTAGCTTTGTCCTAACCTTGGGGATTCCACACCGTCTTGCGCCCCCTCGCCGGGATTCTCTAGTCCCCTAAAGCCTCCCAAGACTATAATGGGGTAAATATGACTTGGCCGTGATAGTTCCACGACAATATCAATACAGATCTTTTTGCAAGAGTTGTGTTTATATGGGTAGCGACTGAGAGCTCCCCAAACCTCACTCAGTCCCTGTTTAACAGATCGGGAGGAGAGGGAGGCAGCAGAGAGAGCTATGGGTCCTTTGGCACTTCTTTGCTGGGCCACAGAGCTCACTTCGCCCCCGTCTTCCTCGGCTTTTTTCGGCCCACTCTCCCGGGCTCAGTCTAGGACTCTTTCCAGGCTGGGCCAGATCCCTCCACAGACCCGGGGAGAGTGAGTGCACCTAGACCTGCTAGCATGCGGGGACCTTGGCGCCCTGTGGGACGTCCCAAACAGCCCAGCGTAGACTCCCGGACACGCACAATTGCTACAGCAGGAGCGGGGAGTGGATCCCAAAGAGGGCCGGCCGGTAAGTAGGAGCGAGCTCGCGGTTGGGCAAAATAGGACTTGGGATGGACAGCCAAGGATTCCCACGTGCGGTCCCCGCTCTCCTGGAATTGAGTGGTGGCTCTCAGGGGACTTTGCTGAAAAACCTCGATCTAATAAGCCCTCTCTGAAACCACGGAGGCTGGGAGTGCGGGGTGGGAGTGAAAAGTCGCTTTAAACTTAAGTGAGACATTCCAAACTGAATCTTGGCTTCAGTTTCCCTTTGCTACAAGGGCTGAGCTTAACCTCCACCTGCATTCCTGGCTCTGTCCGGGAGAAGACGACGGGGTACCCCAGCATAGGCGCAAGCAGAAGAGGCGAGGAAAGGCGGAGCTGGGAGGGGTGCGTATTTTCTAAACCAGCTGGCAGCTGCCTAGTGGCAGTGCTGCTATTCCGGTGGAGACCTTTCAGCACCGCAGCCGAGGACAGGGCTCTGCCCGGGTCCTTAACCACCGTCTCCAGTTTCAAGATACTCTCATTCTCTCTGTCTCTTTCTTAACCACCGTTCAAGATTCTCCCTCTCTTCTCCTCTCCTCTCTCTTCTCCTCCCTCCCCTCCCCCAGACACACCCAACGATTTTTTTTCTTTTCTTCTTTTTTTTTTTAAAGTCATCTGTCGCACCTCTTGTTTCTTCTTTCAGGATCCTGGGCTCAAAGCAAGGAGTAGGCAGATGCGGGCGGACGCGGCGCAGCAAGCAGACAGTGCGCGCTCCTACGGGATGCAGCTCAACTGGGACATCAACGACCCGCAGATGCCTCAGGTGAGTGAAACTCAGTGTGTGCGCCACGCAGGATGCCGTCCATCCAAAGAAGCGGAAACGGTGTTCAAGTTACCGCTGGGGCTCTGCAGAGACACTACGCTCACGTTTCTGAGTTTCTGGGGGCCTTCAAATATAGCCATGTAGAGAGTACTTCTTGGGGCTCTAAAGAGGCAGGCCGGGGTTTAGACGTGTGTCCTCTCACAGCCATTTCCTTGGGCTTGTCTGAAAACTGGAAGCAGCGGGAAGGTCGATCAGGTTCCACATTCCCAGTATTCTGTCGAAAGCAGGACGCCTTGCTCCTTCGTCTGCCTTAATCAAGGTGGAATTGGGTGCCTCCCTACTTACCCATTTACTTGAACCCATTAGAAAATTAGAAGAAAAACCTCAGCGGATTTTAAAACTCACTGCTTCTCATGCAGCAGAACTGCACGACAGCACTATAAATTGAATCTGATGGCCAGAATGTAAAATAAATAGCCCGATTTGAGCAATTTATTCAGATATCCTTGACCACCCATGCAGGGAGGCCCCATAGGAATGCTAATGTGCCATCAGCGCCCCAAGCTTACTTTTTCTCTAATGACAGGGAATTGGTCATTCGTTTAGGGTGAATTTATGGTGCTTTGCTTTATTTTAGTGGCGCAAAATGGTTTGGAGCCAAGTTCAGGGAATCAACTGAGCAGTTACACTGGGTCATAATTAGTTTGGGCCCAAACTAAAGAGTGACTTTAATGTCCTAGGTTTACATGGGGGTGGGGGTGACCAGCAGCTGCTTCCCAAGCACTTGCAAGTGTGGACTTCTGGCAATGTTGTGACACAGGGATGAGATGTGATGTTTATTCAGTATCTTTTATGCATCAGATGGGTGTTCAAATAAACAGCAATTTCTTAGCCAGACCATGTAGTCTCTCAAAGAGATCAGCACTTTTTTAGCTGTACACATTTGTAGTAGTAGTTTTTAGGTTTGTTGTAAACTCTCTCTACCTTAGAGTCAGACGGTATCGTTTCTGCAAAAGTAGACCACAGTACAGGAAGTGCATCTCAACCTTGTGGACTTCTTGTGAACTTGTGTTTGTGGCAATTTTCACAGGAAAAGAAAAATCCAATCTTGCCAAAAGAATCACATCCAAATCATGGCTGATCTCTCAAGCCCTTTCTAGCCTTTAATGTAAATATGGGTTTTTAGGCATCTGGTTCTGGAGCAGGGAGTATGCATGTAATACCTCAAAAGGGACAGGCGCTTTGGCACTTAGAGATGTGGAAAAACTGAGCACTGCCCAGCTCTGGTTATCTGAGCTATATGACCTTGGGAGAGTCCTTGAATTTGCCTTAGACTCAGGCCATTCACTTGTCATCAAGTACTAGGAGATACCGATCTGAAATTCTCTTTCAGGTCTATTGTTGGGTTCAGTGTGTGTGTGTGTGTGTGTGTAAGATGAGAGAGAAGAGAAGAGAGAAAATGCAATGCCCACACAAATGAAACCCAATCCTGGATATCCTCTGTTCTTGTTTTCATTTAAAAATACAGTTTCCGTGACTTTATTCACCTCCAGGGTCACTATCTCAGTAACTGGAGCGAGACATGGGGGCCTCCTGTACAAGGGAGTGATCGAGAAATACTCTGAAAAATTGTCGGTTTGGTACTAAAAGGCTTAAGCTGAAATGTTCACTTTGAAAACAAAGATATTTGCATTTGATATAAGCTAAGAGTTGATAGTACATCATTATATATTTCATTTTTGGCTTACCTTAAGTTGATATATTAATTTATGTCAAGTGTATAAGAATACTTCAGAGAAAAGATAAATAGGGCCTGATGGTAGTAATTCATTGACAATATCCCTGAGATTCTAGAGAAAAAAAATCACTAATTTAACTAATGGCTGTTAGAATGTGAAATATTAGGCAGCACCTGTGGCTCAAAGGGGTAGGGCGCCAGCCCCATATACCAGAGGCGGCAGGTTCAAACCTGGCCTCTGGCCAAAAACTGCAAAAAAAAAAAAAAGTGAAACATTAATCATGTATAAAAGTCTGAATGGTCCAACTGAGAATACTTTAACTTTGCTAATGTTTGATCTCACTTTTCTGGGTGGCAGGACTTACTATTGTGATAAACTCTTCTGAGCTTTTATCACACCAGTAAAACTATTGGGGCCTGGCTGCTCCAGATCTCCTATTAGACACATGCCTGAGTTAGGCTCCTGCAGGTTATCTATCTAACTCTACCTTACCTGTTAAATAAGAGTAAGAATGCCCATCTTGCAAGGCAGTTGTGAGGATTACAGATGTTGCACAATATGGTTTGTCAGGCCCTATGCTTCTGTCATAAACACTCATCTCATCACAGCAACCCTATGAAGCCACCCTAGACGATGCATAGAAGAATGTACATGGCTGCATTCCAACCAGACTTTCTTTATGGACACTAAATTTTAATACTACATAAGTTTCATGCATCAGGAACTATAACTTGCCCCTTGATTTTCCCCCACCATCTAAAAATATAAAAACTATTCTTAGTTTGAGACTATACAAAAACAAACAGCAGGCCTGATTTGGTCCACTGGCAAAAAGTATCACAGGCCACCACCCTAAAAAGTACCTGGTAAATAATAAGTGCTCACTAAAGGATTATTTTCCATTAAACTTACATGCATGTATATAAAAGAGACATTCATTACTATAGAATGACATTCATGCTGTAGACATTCATATATTGTAGACAAAGACCATTAAATATGAATACACATATTAAGGCAATGCTCAGTGCTTTAGATATAACTTACTATTTCAGCCATGTGGCTCTTTATTGAGGAGAATGAATGACAATCCCATATTGCTCTGGGGAGCAGTCCCAGTGCCAGGCAGGGTCACCAACACCCCAGAGCTCATGGTTTACTATTGTGGGTCCATCTTTCATTACAGAGCCCTTTTAAACTTGGAGAACTAATTTGGAAGGGGGCAGGGAAGCTGTTCTTACCTCTCTGTCATTATTCTGGTGTCGCTGCTGATAAGACAGCCAAGAGCTTTAGAAGAAAATGCACCAGCTTATTTATAAATTACATTGCACTTCAGGGACAGAGCACTTCTATCACTTTTTTCCCTGACACTGTGATACTTTATTTGAAAATGTTTTCAATATTTAAACACATCAAGAAGTGGTATAACCTAATGGTAAGAAGCACAGGCTCTAGAGTCAGACAGTCAGGGTGTGAATCCTAGAACCAGGTCTTGCTAGCTGTGAGACACTGGGTGAGTCAAGTAACCTCTCTGACCTCCATGTCCTGTTGTATAAAATGGGTGTGATTGTCTGCATGTGTTGTGGAGGCTAGATGAGTTAATAAATGTCCAGCATTTAGAAGAAAAGCACTGTATAAACATATCAGCCAGTTGCCAAAAGGTAAACATAGACTAGGTGAGTAGCCTTTAGGGATAGCGTAGTCTTGGGGTTTGGCAACATTGCTAGATTTCAGAAATAACTCCTTTTTATTCTAATGTGCTTGGAGAAGATTAAAAGCATGATGCATGCCATTTGGTCTTGCTAGAGCTGACCAGCTTTCCTCTATTGCTTCCTAGGAGCCTGTGTTCTTCGACCACTTC